AAAAAAATATATCTTTAAAATATACCTTATAATAAATTTATATAATATTTTATTATTAATATATTAATAAGAAAAATTAAATAAAATATATTTAATTATTTAATTTCTTAATTATATTAAAAACAAAAATAAAATAAAATATATAAATTAATTTATATTTATATATATTAATAATTATATAATATATTATTATTTTTAATTTAAAAATATTATTTTTTTAAAAATTGTTATTTATATTTATTTTATTTATAAAATATTTATAAATTATTTAGAAAATATTTAGAAAATATTTAAAAAATATTTATAATATATTTATAAAATATGTTTAAAATATTTATAAAATATTTATAAATTATATAAATTATATATAAAATATTTATTGTCGCCGTCGATCCGGATATTTAATTAATCAAAGCCGAAATTTCTTGTCGTATATACGTTATAACAACAACATTTATATATATATATATATTAAATATATTAAATATTATATATTTATTATTAATTTTAAATAAAAAAAAATTATATATATTATTTATATATATATATTTATTTATTCTTATAAATATATATTATAAAATATTATATTTTATTTTTAATGAATATATCAAACAACAAATAATTTTAATATATAAATATATTTAAAATTAATAAATATTCTAATAAAATGATTTATTTCCTTTATTTCAATGTATTTTCCAATCAGGTTGATTTATTCCAAATGTTATCTTTTTATTGAATATTTCCAGTTGAAATTTCAGAAGCCGGCATGGGACCTGGGGCATGCTTGTAGGGAGACCCTACCTGGCAATAGAAAATTAATTTATGATGGTTCAAAATCCCGAAATCTGTTCGAGGTGAGGCCCCCAAATGATAGCCAAGTTGGCGCACAATTCACTTGGTTAACGTTATTTGTGGATATTTATGGATATACCGTTAGGTATCGTTAGGTTACCTATAGTTAATGGGTTTTTAAACCAACATAACTGGGGGCCTCACCTTATTCCATGGTTGTTGATCATCTCCAATGTAATGACCCCATAGAGGCAACACTGTCCATTTGTGTCTGAAAATGTGGCATCCCAAATGGCTGTTTCAATGGACAAAATGATGATATGATAATGATGATAAACCATCAATTTGGACAAAACCATTTGGTTTTTGCGCGCAAATTCTAGAAAAGAATGGGTGAACATGGATGAAGAATGAAAAGAAAACACTGCGGATTCTTGCTTCCCAGAAGCCGGTATGACGAACGAACGTGAAATAAGTCGAAGCCACCTATTGTTAGTCATGAATTATTGATCACTCGTTTATTTCCGCTTTTGGATTCAGTGTAATATTATGTAATATTGATGCTGTCAGAGTTTGCTAAGGCTTTCTGAATGAGTCCAAGGCTAATCCGAGACTCTTGGATTCAACAATTGAGGTTTTGAATACGGGATAATACGCTTGCTCGGTCCCTTTGTATATTTTTGTGGGGTTGGTTAAGAGATGTTGAAACTGTAGATTCAACTCATCTTCTCCCCTTCCTCAGATCCAACGAATTTCACTTGAATCAGGTATGAGCCAAAACTGCTCAGTTTACGGCCTTCCTTTTAGGTCCAACAAACAGTTTTACATTGGTGCCGTGCCTGGTGCCATAGGTTTAATGCCCGTCCGGTCCGGTTTTCTGGCAAGCTGCAAATTGCTTTGGACTTCGATCCCAACCTCGACCGCTGAAGCGCTTCGATCAATACCTCGGTAGATCCTGCGATTCTCCATTTGTGGTGGCCTATGATCCTCCATCATGATGGTTTGAGGCTTTTGGATGGTTTTGGATCAAACCTCCATCTTTGGTTGATCCCAGCCCAAAGGCCCAAACTCAATCAAGACAAGGGAACCGAAAAAGGGATTCTGCAATTAAACATCCCTAAACCAGTTTTTCAGCAATGTGTTAATTTCATACATTGCGATATTCTAGTATCTTCTAGTAGCATTACTAACTTCCAAAAGATCTTTAAACAATCGGACTTTACATTTCTACTTCAGTAGGATTTGTTACATGGTTATCTTTCTGATTTTTTTTTAAATGTCGAGCCGAGTTGCGGAAGTCGCAGCCTGAGCGATGGCGACAGCATTCACATTGGGGAAATAACTATTGGAACCAAAGAAAAAATGAGTTTAGCCAAACGCATTGGGCTTCGAAAGCAGAAAATACTTTGACGCGCAGCTTTACATGGGACACTTCCCATGTTTGGGGGATGACCATCTTCTGCGCTGCTCCAAGGCACTGAAACTCTGTCCAAGCATAACTTTGCTTCCGCTGCGTCGGCCATTCAGAAACAACTCGAACTTCAGCTTCGCCTTCTCCTGTAACTGGCAGGGCGCACTACCATTGTTGTTGCCAGGTGGATTGAAAAGATCATGAGGAGATGATTGTTAACCCACCCATTGGCGGAGACCCCACCCATTTGGTCTGGGCTTATTTTTTGGGCAAATCCTAAGCAGCAAACAGCAACTACTTAGTCTGGGGGATGACATGCGTAGGGTGCTGCTTGAATCATCTTGAATCCCCATAAAACACATATGAAAAATGATGGATATAAAGGTTAAAAGGAAAAACTTTAACCCCAAACAAATGAACTCTGCAAATTTATCCTGGTGAAGTTACCCTGCGTAAGTAAGACATGTTGCCGTCCACATGGACGGTTTGCAGCATGGTACTCCCGTTTTTGTTGGTTAGGTCACCATGTGTGATGTTTAATGCCACTTGAATCACCATGAAATTATATCATTCTCACATCAAGATCCCCAGGAATTCTATAGAATTCTCCCATTATGATGTTATTTTTATCATGTTCTTACCATCTTTGATGCTTACTATATCCCCATATCCCCAGGATATCCCCAGGATATCCCCAGGATATCCCAAGCACCTTGCCATTTCCATCCCCCACCTCGCAGAGCACCGCCACAGCGCACTGTCCATCGCTGGTCAGCGCGGTGCCCAAGGGGAAAAAGACCAGGCGCAGCGTTACGCCTGGGTATGAGTTCATATAAATGTTGGATAATCTATGATTATCCATGATTATCCCCAAATATATATATATATATATATTAATATATACCATGTCATTATATGTAAATATCCAATGATATTTTCAATTCGGAAAACTATCTACCCTTTTTGCAATTTTTTGATAGGTGAATCATCGAAGTGGGATAAATATGGACCATTTTCTATTGCAAACTGTAAAATTACCAGTGCGGTTTGGTGATGTTCGATGTTTGATGTGGTTAATGTATGTTAATATGGGATTTCAATGGATCTGATTTACTGAAAGAAAGTGGAAGTGACTCACCGAAATAGATCGGTACGTGTAAAATTGAATTGAAAGGCGTCAAAGGATTGGTTTTCCATGCTGACCGTACTAATCCTGTCCTTAACATGGCCGTCCTATCCTGAATATGGCGGTTTGAAGCTGAACATTCCCCACTATATAAACGGAACATAGAATCAGATTTACCTTGCAATTCCAGGAATACCCGAGCTTGAGCTTGGGGGTATTCCATGTGTTGCATCCCCTTCCGGATAAAATTGCATGTCTTTAAGCGCAAAAAATGACAGAATTCAGCCGGTTGGGCTTGGGACTTTAAAAAAAAAAACACACTGCTGCGGCACCTGCCACTGAGAACTTTGGGCTGTCAACCCCTGGCGAAGGGCAAGGACTGGGGACGCAGAGGCAAGCCATGTTTGATTGCTGGAAGGCAGGGATGGCAGCCCCAGTGAGTGGAGCATGTTGGAGCTTTAATAATCCCTTCCCCTATAGTGCTAAACTTCCCAAATACAAAAGAAACAGGTTCGGGTTCCCCAAATGCTGGAATTTGGATTCTTTTAAATTGGGGGTCTCAACTAGGCCCTTTTAAAATCAATTCCGCAAACCTAGCCTTTGAGGATAAAGTAAACAAATGTCACTTGGCGGTTCTTAGGGTCCTCAAATTCCCCTCTCTCTCTTTTTATCTCTCTCATTGGTCTTTTTAGGAAACCCTCCTTCGAAATCCAATATTTTGGCAATATCTGACCTTAGGTTTTAAACATGAACTTAACAATTGTTTGAGCGCGACCACCTCTCTTGTTTTTGGGGACTCCTTAATGCCAGACACAACTTAATAGAGAAAACAAATCCAGGATGGGATGATGATCATGGCGCACATATTTTTCAAACAGAAGAACTTGGTCTCCAACAGCTCGTCGCAGTTTTCCACACATTCCCAGGGCTTGCTGTTTCTTGAAGCACCATTGATTATCATCGGCCCTATGTGCCAGAAGGATAGCGGATGGGCATCCATTCGTACACTAGCAAATGTAACATCCATCACAAGGAGCGGAACCATGCCCATTTGCCGAGACAGGTAATTCCGTCAAGAGCCGGCGAGCGTTTGATCTTCATAAGTTTGATAATCCTCTTCCCCTATTACTAAACTTCCCCAAGTAAGAAACCGGAGACTGGGAATTTGATATTCAAAACCACGAGAAACTGCCAAAACTCATGGTTCAATGCCCAACCAGAGATCAATTTGTAGGATCCCCCCAAAGTCGGGTAGAAAAGGAATTTATCACTGCTTCAGTACTGCTGATTTCCCAGAAACTCTGGAAGCCGCCTCGGCCCCGAGGCCAATCATGTCCAAAGTCGGGGCCTCAGGCATTTTTCACCGAAAAAACCTGGGGAGATTCAAAAAAACATGGGCGATGTCGTCATGATTTTAATGATTTGTTAGAAGAAAAACATGGGGGATGTCATGATTTTAATGATTTGTTCGAATAAAAAATGATTTGAGAGGGGGAACACGAAAGGTAGGTGATCAAGAAGGGGAAGCAAAGCCTCTCTGTGTAAAAGTTGGCTGTGTGTAAACGCGTGCTGTGTGCACAAGTTTCTGTGTGCAATTTGTGTCTGTGTAAAGACATTTGTGTGAAAGCATCTGTATGTAAAAACTGTTGTGCGTAAAACCTTCTGCGTGTAAAACCTTCTGTGCGTAAGACTTCTGTGCGGAGAACTTTCTGTGTGTAAAAACCGTCTGTCTGTAAAAACTGCTGTGCATATTTCTTTGTGCGTGAAGGCATCTGTGCGAAAAGGTTTCTGCTGTGTAAAAATTGTTCATTATTGTTCTGGGTAAAGTTTCTAAGTGCAAAAAAGTCGGTCTGTAAAAATGTCTGTGTGCAGTCTGTGTGTACAAGGTTCTCTGTGTCAAATGTTTTTTGTGTATGACAAAAACATATGTAAAAATTGTTCTGTGCAAAGGTTTCTCTGTGGAAAAGGTTCTGTGTGTAAAAACACCTATGTGCCTGCATTTATGCGCGCAGAAGCATCTTTGTACAAAACATCTGTGTGTAAATACTTCCTTCTTTGCGTAAAAACCTCTGTGTGCAAAGGCGTCTGTATACATTTTTTTTGTGCACAAACCTCTCTGTGTAAGAATATCTGCGCGTAAAAGCTGCTCTGTGTAAAGGCTTCTGTGCGTAACGCCGTCTGTTTGTAGAAACGTATCGGTGCAAAATGCGTCACCACAGCCAAAACGCAAAAAACAATGGAACAAAAGAATCCAAGATCAAATGCTTGATGTCGTTTCCGTTGTTGATGATGGCGATGATGTGCGCAGGGCCCCGCAAGGCGTCATTTTGGCTGTCTAAAGTCAATGTTTGAAAGCCTTCGGAACTAATTACTTTCTTCGAGTGATCCCCACCAAGTGACACTTTTTTTTGACATATTTTCAGACATGCTATCCGGCATTCGCATTTTATCTCATATATTTTCGGCAATTCTTTCTGGCATTGTATGTGGTATATCTTCGGAGATTCTTTGTGGTTGAGGTCCGGCGGGCAACACTCTGATCATACAGTTCGATGTTTTTGTTGTTGTTGTTGCTGGTTGCTGTTGCCGTTGCTGTTGCTCTTATTGTTCTTGTTGTTGTTGTTGTTGTTGCTGTTGTTGTTGTTGTTGTTGCTGGTTGTGGTTGTGGTTGTGGTTGTGGTTGTGGTTGTGGTTGTGGTTGTGGTTGTTGTTGTTGTTGTGGTTGTTGTTGTTGTTGTGGTTGTGGTTGTGGTTGTGGTTGTTGGTGTTGTTGTTGTTGTTGTGGTTGTTGTTGTGGTTGTGGTTGTGGTTGTTGGTGTTGTTGTTGTTGTTGTTGCTGTTGCTGTTGCTGTTGCTGTTGTTGTTGTTGCTGGTTGTGGTTGTTGTTGTTGTTGTTGTGGTTGTGGTTGTGGTTGTGGTTGTCGTTGTGGTTGTGGTTGTGGTTGTTGTTGTTGTTGTTGTTGTTGTTGTTCTTACTGTTGTTGTTGTTGTTCTTACTGTTGCTGTTGTTCTTACTGTTGTTGTTGTTGTTCTTACTGTTGTTGTTGTTCTTACTGTTGTTGTTGTTGTTGTTGTTCTTACTGTTATTGTTGTTCTTACTGTTGTTGTTGTTGTTGTTGTTGTTAGCCCTGCAGCTTTTTTCTCAGTCTCGTAGTGGCCTATAATCGTCAAATAGATTGTGTTTTCGCGTTTTTTTTGAAACTCCTGGGGCCAAAAAAAACTCCATAAATACTGATGCTTTTTGCGCCTCGGAAGCCCAAAACCACGGTATTTATATACGATGTTGTTTGCCTTTGGTAGCAAAACCCACGGTATTTACAGTGTTTTTTGGACAGCACCTAGCAAAACCACTGGTATTTATATACGCATTTTTCGGCATGTTACAAGAACTACTTTTTCCATGCCAAAGGCACAAAAACACTGTAAATGAGAGTGTTTTGGATCTGCTTTTAGGGTTCGTTAAGGGGTTGAGGGGGGGTATCTAAAATGAACAGCAATCGTCTGAATAATCAGGCAACTGGGCTGGCCTGCCTCCCCTTTACGAACTAAACTCAAGGTAGCACCACTGGAGCTACCTTTCGTGATAAAAATTGTGATTGAAGCAAGAATTCAACGAAAAGTTGAGGCTTCAATTTGAAAAAATGGTGATAAATGAGGTGTTCAGCAAGAACACTGGGGAAATTCATGAGCACAACAGGAACGTAAAGCCGCCAATGCGGTGAGATCATCCCAGTCAGCGCCGCCTCACTATGGGATGTTGAAGGTTTATCATATGGTCATATTTTGTCAATATAAATACATATATATATATACACATATAGTGTATAAATATGACTATACATACACATAGTATGTATGTGTATATATATAATATGTGTGTGTGTGTGATCCTTTTTCATCCTGTTTCCCCATTGAACTAGCATAAATTGAGAGTAAGTCCCTTGTCGTCAAAAACTCAAGTCATGGGACCTTCATCCAACAGCCACCGCAGCTGGCGCTGCTGGACTGTTAGAGTGCCCACTCTGGGTCTGGTGGCCGCGCCAAGGCCTGGTATCGTTTCAATCAAGTGCCCCAGTTTGGTGCAAAAATCCACCAAACACAGGGATTCAGTGAGAAAAATTGCATGATTTTAGCCCATCTATATAGATATAGATATATATAGATATAGATAGATATAGATAGATATAGATAGATATAGATAGATATAGATAGATATAGATAGATATAGCTAGATATAGCTAGATATAGCTAGATATAGATATAGATAGATATAGATAGAGATAGACAGAGACAGACAGAGATAGATAGAGATAGATAGAGATAGATAGAGATAGATAGAGATAGATAGATATTATATATATATATATCCACCACAAATCCTGGCCTGGAAACCAACCTATCTATGGGGGCCCTTTCTGCAATATGGACATTTAATGGAAAAATGATGATGAATCAATGGGGTTTATCCCCACCGAATCGTTGGATGGGAAGTCGAGAGTCAAGTCGTGGTACCCTGGGGTTTGGGCCATAGATGTGGCAAAAAACCTATGGTTTCCCGAGGAAAATCCATCTACAAATGGTGGGTTTTCCATATTTTTTTAAGCTTACCCTAGGGTAAACCAGCAACCAGTGTCCCATTTGTTGGTGAAGGGTACCTCATGGATCTTCATAATCTGAAAGACTCAGCGATCTCAATATCAGCCTCTGGTTCAAACACCCCCAGTTGTACTGCTTATATGCCCGGTGTTGCTTGCTTTATCTGGATACATACAGTAGATGGACAAATTATTCAAACCCCGCATCCATGAGTTGTAGGCTACCCCCTGTCCCCCCAAATTTCAACGTTATGGTTTCGCATCTTCGTTCCTGATCTTAGGGTTGATTTATTTCGTCCATTCGAAGGAGCGAATCAAACCAAAAAAACAACATTGTAATTGGGGGTGCGGGGGGTTATTGGATTACAAGGGTTTGAATAATTCGTCCATCTACGGTATGGATGTGATCCTGAGAAACAACTGGTTTTTCTTGGTGAAAACGTGCACCATCAGCCTCTAAAGATCAGGTTAGCTATGGGAAAATCCAAATCTGTTATAGGCAATGAATGGGTGATCTTCCATAGCTATAGTAAATTACCGGAGGGTACATCCTTTCCTAATGGACCTGCAGTTCCGAGACGCCGTGCCTGCGCTTGACTGACTCGCTTGGCTGCGATTGCTGGGCCTGAGAAACTCGTCACCAACCAGGGTGTTCACCTTGCATTGGACATTGGATGTTACTGCTACTCATTCTTCTCATGTATTTACTATAGTTAACTATAAAATACTATAAATCCTAAATCCCAATAGTAGTTTCATGATGTTACATTGTATTTACTATAGTTGGCTATAATTGCCAAATCCCAATGGGTTTTTTGGTGTCCCCAATTGCCGCAGATACCTGGCCACCAGCACAGCCAAGGCAGCCAAGGCTCCAGGGGTCAGCGTCCTAGGTTTTTCGGGTATCTTAGGGCATTATCACCTGGTAACCAGGAGCTGTTTCCAGCCATCAATCAAAATCAGAAATCTCCATTGATATGCAGGAGCTGTTGATTTCCACAAGGTAAACATATGGCAAGCTATGAGCAACTTAGTGACTTAGTGGCAATGGCTTTCCAAAATCCAATTCATATGTGTGGCGTTGGATGTTCCATGACCGTCCACAACTATATCCATTGAGTTTGATGATTTTCTGATGAAACTCGAGACCTATGAAATAGGAAATTTCCCAGCGATGATTGATTGAAGGGGGTGAGTCGAAGAGAAAAGGAAAGCACCAAGGGAGGAAAATTAAGATTCAAATGGGGTGACTGGAAACAATCTGAATATGTAATTTGCACCAGATGTAGATGAGCTACATATCTGTGGGTATACGATTTGGACTTGGACACCGTTAAGGGCCAATTTCAAGAGACAAAATCATTGTCCGCGACTTGGAGGATTTACGACTGGCTAAACTAACCTCTGGTAAACATACAAAAAACTATGGAAAATCACCATTTTTAATGGGGAAATCCACTATAAATTGTCATTTTCAATAGCTATGTTAGTTTACCAGAGGGTAACCTCACAAACATTGACCAATGCATGGGAGATCCTCCAAGTATAGAACCACCCTCTCCAGTCCTGGTCCTTTCCCCAACTGATCGTCTCAGTAACTGGAACATCATCCGCTTCGGCTTCGACGGCTTCGCCCGCTTCGGTCGACCTAGGGGCAAATATATACCCTCTGCTAATACAACGTAACTATGAAACATCACCATGTTGAAAATGTAAATTGTCTATAAATGGAACATGGCGGTAATGAAAATATATGAAAATGGTGATCCAAGCATCGAACATATCGAACATTGGGATATAGTTGGTTGGATATATATGGTGATATACAGGGGGATACCAACTAACAAAAATTGGTACATCATGGGATACACCCCTAAACATTGCAGTGGAAACCATGGCCATGGAAGCGACAGGGAAATCACCTACTTTCACGGATTCACGGATCATGTCCCCAAAATTTGAACACCCAGGAACCATCGTGGATGTAGGGGGATTTATACATATTTGAGATCATCTGGCGAACGTTTTAATATTTGGGGGATGGGATTGTTCTTGAATCATTGGGTTGGTCGAAAATGGAAATTTGCAGGAAACCATTGTTCTTTACACAAAAATGCAATGGTTTCCGCAGATTTTCCATTCATCCGTCTTCGGACTTGAATCGTTCAAAAATAATGCCAATGTATGGATATCTCGAGGTCCCCCATTCCTGAACAAAACGACATCATCGCACATCCCTCTCTGGAATGCTTCTACTTCCGGTCAGGGTTCCAGGCTATGTCCCCACTCTTGGCTGTGGAAATTGTGTTGCATCCTCTTTTCTGCCCCTTGCCAATTTAACATGACACCCAAAACAGGCAGTCTCATACAATTTCCCTTAGAGAAACCACACTCCAAAACCCAGTTTCCAAGGTTCCGGGTTGAATTTTGGCGTGGTTCTACATAAAATCTAGGGTGAACAAAAGCCCTCGGTAAAAAAATGGTACTGGAAATTCTGCCACATATAGCATTTTGCAACTAATGTTTATCCAATTGAAACGGATGGTTTTCAATTGCCATGGGTTGAGCATCAATTGGCGGCACAGATTTCAAAAAAGTGGTACTTAGAAACAACAAAAATGTCAAAAATAATATCTAAGCACAGCTAAGCGCAATGGCTCCCAACCCAGCCTATCAATTGTACATATTTGATAGTTAAAATCCCATAAGACCCCTACAATTGATGGTTAGTTAAATCTCATTAGTGTCCGATGAAACTCTCATGAAAACCTCGCTAAAAAAATCCAACCAACAAATTCCATTAAACATGATTCAACATCATGGCGCCAATCCCCTTGTTCGTCCACATCCAACTAACACATCCAGACAATCTCAGGACTTAGGGGTTTAGGGTTTTAGGTTCTATATTGTTTTGTAAAATCACTCAAGGCTAGCCCTGATTAAACATCATTGAAGATCATTGTATAAACATCCTTAAACATCATTGAACACCAATAAACATCATTAAACATCATTTAACATTAATAACCATTTTTTTTAAAAAAAAACAGTAAACATCAAACAACATCATGACATATCAATGAATACCAATAAACACCATTAAACATAATTGAACATCAACAATCATCATTAAGCCATCATTAAACATCAATAAACATCAATAAGCATCATTAAACATCGTTGAACATCATACAACACCATCACACATCATTGAACATCAATATCCATCATTAAACATCAAACATCATCATTAAACATCAACAAAAACGGGAAAAAAAAGAACATCATGAAGCATCAGTTCACATCAATAAACACCATTACACCATCATTAAAGTACGTTAGACGTTTTAGCCGTTCGCCGCCCAGTCGCTTGGGCGATCCCCTGGAACTCGCCGATGGCTCCGCGGGTTCCGCGGGCTCGGGCTCCGATTCAGGGAGCAGCTGGGGTGTGAGGAAGCTCTCCTCGGACTGGCATAGTATGGCGGACTATAACACCATGGGTTTTTATATGTTTTTTATCATCAACCATGGTGATATTTCATGGGCATGGAAAAATGGGATAGATCATTTTCAATATCAACCTAGCGATTTGTCATACCATCTGGTTATGACTAACAGTTTGCCATGGAAAATGGTCACCATGCTATTAATAGGTAAACCAATGGTAAACCATCTATTTCTATGGGCCATCTATACCATGGCTATGTTAGTCATAACCAGAGAGTAAATGTTTAATTTTACAGTCAACCATAGGCATTTCATGGGATGACGGGGATAATGGGATACATGGCTGAATTCACCAACGTAGATTTGGATTTAACCATGACACATGGAGATTTAATGCGATATAAACAAGTTGATCACCATGCCAGAACTGTTCATAACCTCCGGTGTCATCAAACATAGCGGGCCGCTGGAACTCCCTGAACTAGCCATGGAGGTGAAAATAAACTGGGAAAAACAAAAACTAATGGGAGATTTAAACATGGTGGATTTTATTCCAGGAAAATGATAATCTCTTTCTATCGCCTTATCGAAGAGTGCTAAGCAAAATGCCAGTAAGGTGATGGATGGTTCTTCATGTTTATGCAAGTTTTGAATGAAAATGATGTAATGTAACCGTTGTGAACATATGGATTTAACGGGAACATCATGCTTTTGTTTAAGGGATTATGGCTGAACAATATGAATTCACTAACCCGAAAATAGCTGAAATGTCACGACGTGAGGTCATCATAAATGAGAGGAACATCCAACTATTCATGGGGGATTCTCACCAGGATGCAATGTTTGATTATCAGAGGGCGTGACATATGATAAACCTTGAAGGTCACCCTCCAAAATATGGAATGTGATGGAATGTGCTCTGTGAAGCTGATAATTTTATATAATTTTACAAATGATAAGAAGTTTACACTGGCAAACAATAGGATTTCACCAACAAAAATGAAAAAATGTGAATGGAAATTTCTCAGCAACTGGAACCGGGAATTCATGTGAGACCAGGTCATCAATACGTTTTTTGGGACCAAAGAAACTTGTCGAATGTTGGTGGTTGAAAAACCCCACCGCAAGAATCCATCAACCAGAAATAACCAGAACACCTACAGTATACCCACTAGATCCGAATGACATCCTCATTTTAGATGCCAAAATGCATCATTTTTGCCACAGGGATGCTATACTTTGCATGTCAAAATCCCTGGTTGGTAGATTTCAACACCAACCAGCTGGGCACGCACCTCATCCACATAGATGGGCTCAGAGAATTCCGCAGCATACCTCCAGTTATGTGACAGCCAGCGGTTCAACACTGCTGTGAAAACGCCCAGAAAACATGAGGCTCTCAATTTCATGCAAGTTCGAATCCAAAGTCCGAGTTGGGGTCCTGAGATGTCCTGAGAGTAAATTCTGAGATGGCTGACATGATGACCATGGCCAGCAATAACTTACTATCCTAGAAGTCAGGCACGGACAAAACACACCATCGACTCTTGGGGCCCAGCCGGCCCGGGGATCAAAGGGATATTACCATCTGGTTATGACTAACCGTTTGCCATGGAAAATCACCATGTTTAATAGGTAAACCATCTATTTCTATGGGCCATCTATACCATGGCTATGTTAGTCATAACCAGAGGGTATATAAAATGTAAATGAAGATATCATACGCACTAATTTTCATATATGTTACATGTCATAAATGGATATAAATGGTGTATCATGTGATATTATATATACATATTGGCTAGGCTATCACCACCAGAGAAACTACCATGTTGCTCCCTTGGGGCACGGGTGCAGAGCGTGCTCTGCTGCAGGCTGCCAATCCTAGGATCGTCCAAGAGGAAACTTCGGTTGGAGATCAACCGGGTTTTTCGGTGGTTTTCATGTGTTTCCGAACATCGAAAAATGTAGTAAACCATAGTAAACCTAATCATAGACCATCCCGATTTCTGATTTATTGGGTGTACCCCTATTTGGAATGATCTATCATAGTTTGGTTCATGAGATGGTTTGTTGTTGGGTTTGCCCCACGGCGTTTCTGCTGTAATTGTTATGCTTCGTCCAATGCACACGGATTCAATATCGGGCGAACCTCGAAAAACATAGTTATTTGGACCCTACCCTGCCAAATCTCGCAAGCTGGGGGTGGATCTGAATCTAGCCGAATCTAGCCGCTTCGAAACATATTACCACGAACAAATCATACAAAAACCATCATATTGGATAGCAACCGGTGGTGTCTTCTGTGATTAAAACGTATCCGCACTTTGGTTGGGCATGGGCAGAAAGCCGGGGCCCAACTGCCAGGATTCATCAGCATCCCTCATTTAGTTCGATGATTTTCCCAGCGATCATATTTTTTTAGACGGCGAGTTCGAGAATGTTCCAGCCAGCCACGTAGCTGATTCATGCTGATTCTGCCCTGGTTTGAATTATGATCACCTCATCCAACCCAGCTGGTGTGGTCATCATCCTAGCTGGTACTCAGGACAACCTTTTCATGTGTGCCATGCACTGACCCCACCACCAGAGTCCGGGGCTGTGTCATTATGGACCTCTGAGTTCATGCGAGAGTCGAGTCAAAACATGGTATACATATAGATATGAACTATATAGCAATCCACCCCAGCATGGAAACAAAACATTATGGGTATGTCAACCCCTACTAATGGATTGATGACCATCCCCCTACATTAGAAAACGGATCCACGTTTTGAACATGGCTAACCTTTTACCAAGCGGCATGGTGACCCCAGTCTGCCTGGGAATGCCAGCCTTGCTGCGCCTTGAAAGGCGATAGCGATGGGAGCAGATCGGAGAATGCTCCGGTGAAATCCCAGGCATCCGTGAATGGTGAATTCCGAATTCCCATTGCCTGTTTGATTGCTGGAGGGTCACTTCCGTGAATCCTAAGCCTTGCCAGTTAAAACGTCATTGTTGCTGAAGTCAAGACCAAATTTGGGGGAGATCAACAACCTTTCCATCTTTGATTGCCAAATTTAGATACAATGTTTCAATATGTTTCAAAAGACGACTTTTTGGCTGATAAGGTGAAGATAGGACAAGAATGAAGTCTTTGAAAAACATCTCCAGGATGGTAGTTCTACGATTTTTTATCAACCATTTCCAGGTTTCCATTGCTCTACGGTTCGGGATTGCTGTATCCATTCTTGAATCATTGAAGGTTTAATGTCCGCAATGCTCATGTTTTTTTGGATTATGTTGATAATTTATGTTAGTACATCAAGCCATTATTTTATATAAATATATATATATAAATATCACATCCATAGATTAAATGGATGAAGAAACTCGCCATCCAAGGCGGACCTATAGGTAGTCCTCCCTTGGTCATCAGTCCCATTCCCACCTGGCCATAGCCGACACCACTGGCGCCCGGGACAAAGACCGGGCTCGCGGCGGAGAGTTTCGGTGCAGGCCTAGGGTGCTAAATCCACTGGTGAATCGTCATTCGTCATCATTTGTGGCCTAAACATCCACACCAAATCAAGCAAACCCAAATCTTGGTAAGATATTTACCATCTAGTTATTTAACATAGCCATGGAAAATCACAATTTTTTAAAGGTATATAAACCATCTATAAATGAGCCATTTTCCATGGCTATGTTAAATAACCAGAGGGTAAGCATCAAATAAACACCGGCGGGGCCGGGATTCAATGGGATATCACGGGGATATTTTTGGGGATATAAACTATAGAAAATATATGAAAATATGAAGTGTCATGTGACCATGGGACTTATCTGTATCGCCACATGTCAAGACACGCATGCGCATAGACATGTGCACGTATGTGCGTCAATGCATGTATTCATTGAAACGAATAGATGTGTTTAAGCCTATGTCCTTCTCAAATATATGAGAAAAGACGCCCTGGATACCGCCAAGCGTCAGAATGTAACGTGGCAGACAAAATCTGGTGGCTAACAGAGACAAACCCATGAGCCCCCTTATTCTGAATGAGCCAGGGTAATTTTCACCATCTGGCGCTGATAGGGGTTGACGTTGTTTTACTGTCCTGTAATCAAACTAGAGATTACCGCAACTATCAATGACTTTCCCATTGCCATGCACTTTGCCATGTTTGATTGCTGGAGGGTCTGGAGGGTTCAACAATGTTAAACAAATATTTCAAATTCATACTCACATATATATATATAATATAATATATTATATATAATACAGTATATATATATGTGTTGGTTGGTGGTTTCAACGCCCCTGAAAAATATGCTCGTAAATGCTCGTGTGGATCATCATCCCACTTCTAAGGTTGAAGATTTTCCACATGTTTGAAACCAGCTAGCGAATAATCATTGGTAACATACCCATAAAGGTAAACCCAACAGATGGTAAAATGATTGCATATGTATGATGTTTGAGATATAATCATTTCATATCTCCATGACATTCCCATTTCTAGATGGTCAAATGCAAACACAGAAGGTAAACCCAAAGCCATTTTTAGCTGCCATAAAGGGGGGTGGTTCATACGACCCAGAAGGCCATTGATACTGTGGATGGTTTATGGCGGTTTATCACATCATTATGATTCTAAATCCCCCTACTGGTTCTTATTTTTCAATGAAATTTTCCATGGTAACCATATGTAACCACAATAACATGACTATTCTCCATGGTCCAAATGCATAAAAGTTATAAACATCTGAACCACATGCCATATGTTTGGCTGTACCCTCTGGTAAACATACAAAAAAACGATGGAAAATCACCACTTTTAATGGGGTAAATCGGTAAATCCACTATTTCTATGGCCATTTTCCATGTCGCTTCCGAGTCGATGTGGCCAGGTGGCGCTTGCCAGGTGCGCCGCTCGGGCACGAACTCGATAGCATCCACCCGCATGGACCGCGGCCTGGGCTCATCCCATGGCTGGCCGGCGATGGATTCAATGGATCCATGGCTGGAGGTTTATAGCTATGAAACCCATAGGAAAATGGAGGTTTTAATGGGAAAACCCATAGGAAAACCCATAGGAAAATGGATGTTAACCCTCTGGTAATTTGTTACAGTTTGCTTTTGAAAATGGCCCAGTCAAAATAGTGGATTTACCCATTGAAAATGGTGGATCTTTCCATAGGGATCAATGGCCATGACTCAGGTTCCGATTGATTGGAGGTACGTACCATAGAAAAAAGGCCCATTTTTCAGGCATGTTTTTCAGGGAATATCCCACAATTTATATGGGCTAAAATATGGTACAGTACCTCCATTTTAGGATCCTGAAGATCTCCCATTGACTGGTTGGTGGTTTCAATCCCTCTGAAAAATGTGAAAGTCAGTTGGGATGATGACATACCCAATATATGGAACAATAAAAGCCATGCTCCAAACCACCAACCAGATGATAATTATGTGTACTTTCCTATCTTTTGAAATCTTTTTGATTCTTTTTGGGGGTTCTCAAGATCTCAAGATATCTCAAGATAGTCAATTCGGATCAACATAGTGATGGAACATCAAGAGTATGAATGAAACCATCAAATGGTGCTTCCTTTTCTTCAGACAGCCGTCGTGCCACAAGAATGAGTGCTTTCTTAACGGCCCGCTGAAGATCATCACTTCAGAGCTGGGCACCCCCCTGAGACATCCTGAGACTTCACTAGGATTTGACAACTGCCCCAATCGTATCCGTTGTTTTGGTTACTCAAAGTTCATGAATTTCTGCGTGCCATCCATTTGGCACATTTGCTTCCGCTTAATAAATGATCTTTCGACATATTCTTATGAATGTAAATAATGTAATCAAATATATATATATATAGATATAAATGATACTAAAAGTTGTTATCCAAAAATTGGGCAAGTTCACCCCCAAATCCTATGGTTTTCTCACCATTCCCCATTATGATCTGATCGCTCCCCCATTTCTGGAGCTACGTTCAATCTCAAACCTATGATCTATCAATGGATTCGTCTAAGGAAAAATCTTAACCGGAAACCATGGATTCATACCATCAGATGTGGTTTCTTTCCTGTAAACTTCCCCCGAAAATTCAATGCTAGGAATTTTGGATGATTTTTACTATCTTGAAGGTATTGGGTGTTTCGGTGTTATTTTGGTATTTTTATTCATCTTGAATGATTATATAGTTGTAGTTGTAAACTATACCCAATACAACCCAATACCTTAAAAGTGAATATAGGCCTACAATTTCCCAAATCATTCCTGAATAATCTATTCATGTATCCAGATTTCGGGGGAAACTCCAGAAACCTCTCCACCCCCACCTCTCAGCGCGGCTCAGCCAACATGGCTGCGCCGGGTTTTGGGCCAAGGTTACGGGGCGAGTGACCAAGTGGCTTGGACATCCCCGCATTCATTGTTGGTTGTTATGGTTTTTATGTCTGGTTGGTGGTTTCAACCCCTCTGAAAAATATTAGTCAGTTGGGATTATTATTCCTAATATATGGAAAAAATGTTCCAAACCACCAACCAGATGTTGATTTTTGATGTTTCATCTTTACCTTTGATGTTTTTTTAATCAGGGAGGTTCTGATGATCTTTTTGACTAACACGTCCACCCTTGTATTTGGTTTGAACGAGGGTAAGATTTTGTGTGTTTCTCTTGCGCATTGGCTTATGGATGAGTTGACACTCTATTGCTATTTCAAGTAAAGTATATCATATATCATAAACTAATCATAAGGTTCAAACCTGCCCCAAGTTCCTATTACAACATCTCAAATACCAAAGCTTGAAAGTCAAACAGCCCCATAAGAAATACAAGGCTTCTCCATGCGAAGCCAAGTTGAAAAAGTGCCTTCCACAACGGGACAATCCAACGATCAAATCATCAAATCTCGTGCGGCGTTTGAGCTGCTATTCTTTGGGCCCCAATGAATTCCCAATCAGAACCCTGAGGAAACCCAAAAGGTTCCCAAATGATCCCACTGAACCACCAACAAGACTAAACTTATCCCCACAAAAACCCTATGGATAAGTCCCAAAAACAGACCAAGCACAATCCAAGGGATTCCCAACTGATTCCCAAACAAGTCCCAAGAAATTCCCCAAAATGGGTTCCACCCCCATCAGAAACCCAAGAAAAGGAAACAAAACAAAAAAAACAAATTCCCAAACATGGGGAAAGACCCCCACGAAAAACACACAATATTCCCATGGATTTCTTTTAAACTTCGTGGATGCCCAGAATGCCATTCTAAGAACATTCGCCTTTTTCACCCGACGTGCTGCAAGCAATCCGTCCATAAATGCCACAGGCCCATAAGCTGTCCTTACAAAACCTGGGTGGGTGAGTCACCAAAAATATTGAAAAATTATGCTCGTCACCTGGGATCATTTATATATCATCGTCCCATTTCCAGGGTTGAAACTAAACAAACTGTTTGAACAATTTGCACCTCGAAACTGAATGGAGAATAATCAAAGTCCATGGAAAAACCACGTGCCAAAAGCTCCTCCCGTACATTGTGGTGCAAGTCCCTGCTGTGGGTTCCAACATGTAACGCTTGCACCTTTGACAAATGCTCAGATCCCTTCAGAAGGTCTAGCTCTGCAGACTGGATATCCACATGGATCATATTGATGCTGCCAAAGGCTTGCACTAGCCGATCAAGGAGCGAAGCTGTGGCAGGCTCTTGATAAAGAGATATGTTGCACAAATCATGGATGCTGTTTTCCCTCAAGTGCTCTGCGGTCTGAGCCATTGGATATTCAGAATCAATGAGGATCAGATCGCAAGAGCCTTCCTCCGGATGTTTTTGTCGAAAGGCTTTGGCGGCCTTTAATGACCAGTAGCCGTTCGAGGAACCAGCTTCCACAAGTACAAAGCGCTGGGTGGCAGCGGAAACTGCATATAACAGAGAAATGGTCTCAAAGTAATCTTCGCCTGTAGGGGCATCAACGGAAACTTGCCACAGGTAAGAACATGCCAAGAAACACATTTGGAATAGACCGCCATGAAGGCTAACTCACATGACATGACTCAATTTTGGATCCATGCACCGGAAATAGTTCTATCATGCAACGAGTCCATTTGTGATCAAACAGCAGCACCATCACTCACCTACGTCACATCATCCCGCGGAACGCCTGGTAGAGGTCCCCATGGAAGGCCCCAACACTCAAAGCGCCGGGTGAGTTCCGGTTGGTTTTGAGGCGTGCCTTTTGAACAGTCATGGGAAATCCCCAGCCAGTCACGGCCCACCTTCAGAACCTTGGAACGTCTTCGTGGAATCCTCAGAGCCAACTGAAACGGGGCCAAGAAAAGCACATGAAAATCCAGCGAAACGTTCAAATCCCACTTATTTCCACTAGAACCCACTAGATTCTTCATCGATTCCCCATTTCGTGGATAAAAATTGGATAAACCCCCTTGGGATCCAACGGATAAAAAATTCTCAGCACCGGGAATCGGCATGACTCTGGAGCATGAAGGTGACCACATCTCGATGAGCTCATGATGTTTCAAACATGCCAAGGGTTCCCAGGGGTTGAAAACGGCACAGCGATGTGGTCGATTTTCACAGATCTGGCTGTGGTTGGCCAGCATGGCGAAGAGCTTCCTGGTAAGACGTGTAAGCACTTGGCAAATCCTGAAACATGTATAGCAAACACGAAAAAGATCGAAAAGATTAGGAAAGTATAATCCTACTAAAATAGTGGCAAATGATGTTTCTATCTTTTTTGGGGCTACTATATGCACCGATGAATTTTGACACCCTTCACCCAAATGAGCGGAAAAAGGAAGGCCTACTTCCCGAAAGAATCAACCACCCAGCATTGGACACCACAAACAAGATCGAAAAGCAAAATTCTTCTACTATATGTCATAGTGATATAGCAACCCACCCAAAAGGATAGAAAATCAAATAAAAAATCCTATTGAGATAGTGATAAATTGCTGTTTTATCTTTTGGGGGTTCTGTGCCTTTGGGGGGTGCTATCCTCTGGCAATTTAACATAACTCTGGAATAATATCACCATCTTAATAGCTAAATAACATAGGTACAAGTACTGTATATAAATACGTATTTTCCACAGCAAACTGTTAAATTACCAAAGGCCATAAATTGTTTGTCCATTCCCATTTGCATCATCAGGTGATCGAAAAAGACCAGGCTTCCAGCGATCTACCAGGTCTGTGAATCGACTTTGACCGGGCAGGAAACGTTTCTCGTCCATTCCTGGCTGTAGGGTTTTCCATGGTAAACCGTCCAGCTATTGGGGTACCATGTGGAAACCTCCATATCAAAACCAATCTATTCGGGAATGGGATGAAACGAAAAACCAACAAACTTTGTCAAGGTTTCAAAATTCTTCAACTTCACTATTTTTTCGAGATGTTCCCAGGGTCGTTGATGCAACTGGGAAATGTTCAATAAATATCTCCCTATCCCCCCTCCATTCCCCTCCTTCATAAAGTGCTTCATCCTCCAACTTCAAGGGGTATCTGGCTCGGATGGACTCTGAGGAGCAGCTCCTGTTGCCCGAGCCCGGGACCAACACATCTGCAACCTTGGCCAAGCTCAGCATGGCGCGCGAACATCGGGAGAGATGCTGCTCCAAGTTCTCCGAAAGCCTAGGAAGCCGCAGAAAATCCAAACCTGGCGGAGTCGAAACACCAGAAAATGCGGCTACCTTTTGACATCTTCCATAATGGGGACAATGCATGGGGAAACAGGCAAGTAGATGCAAACATCTATGAAATATATTGAAATATTATTGAACTAGATGCATAATATACAGTTATATATAAAATAGCACCATTTCGTATCTTAACAATTTTGTGGTGACATATGTTTTTTAATCTTCCCAAGCGGCAGAGTTCAAGGACTTTGGAAGGCTCAGCGAATTTCAGGCCACGTTCAAGGTCGTCAATCCCGAACTCATTCAAATCCACTTCAAAGTAGAACGGGGTAACACGCGAAGACAAAAGAAGCTGCACCGTGTGTTGAGAAGTGTCCTTGGGAGGTAGGATCAACTATCATTGTCCATTTCGGATTTTGTTTTTTTACTCATGTGTGTTTGGAGGATGGAATTTACCAACGACATAGTATCAAACATGGTTTGGAACCACAACCCAAGCTCGTTGGAGTTTCAATCCATCCTGGAATCATGAGTCAATTCTGAGAGATCCGGTTGGGATGAAATATGAGTAGTTCATGGTAGTTCTGTGTCAAGCTTTAACACCCACGGGGACCTGCTGATGTTTGATCATGGTGAAGCAAATTCCGAATTTTGGCATTGTTGAAACCACCCTCCCGTGGCTAACCTCATATACCCTGCAAAACCCATTGGTTTTCAATTGGGCATATCAAGCATCCCCCTCATTGACCAAACACAAAAAACATACATATAAATATCACGTTAAACCCATATAAATCCATAGATATCTAACAAATTCTAGAAATACAAATCATGTTCCCCCACTAGTCTCATCATTTCCAAGCTTTCCCCCATGTTTCAACATTTTCCAAAGCTCCAAGTCATGTAGTCTTCGACTCAGCCTCCAGGCCTTACAGCATAAAGATCCGCCAGATCCACCGCACTCGCCACAGAACCAGTGCTTCGGATGGCTCGGGCAGAGCTCCTCCGAAAACGCCGAACCACTGGGCCACAGGGGCGCGAGGAGCAACGCTCCGAGCGTTGGGGCGACCATGGGACCATGGGACGGCTGGGACCTGCTTCCTTCGGCCGAAGTTCGATGCGGCCTAAGGGATGGTAAGAAGAATCTGTGAAAAATGGTGAGGAAGCCATTGATTTCCAGGCTTACCATGGAAAACAGTGGAAAAATATGGAAAAATGTGGAAAATGACATCATGTGAGCTACGGTAGATGGACACATTCAAACCCTGCAACAGACTCTGTGCTGAACCCTGCAACGTTTCAGCGCGCGAAGGTGACGTTGGGGGCTTCATTATTTCTTCCTTTGGAGCTAACCCAGGTCACTTCACATTAACAGTGAACTTTGGGGGTAAAGGGGTTGTATTGGATAGATAGGGTTAGAATATTTCGTCCATCTATGGTGCCGTCAATTAATTTGATCTGAACATATCTAACGATCCTATGCAAACTATTGCGAATTCTTAATAGCCAGCAGCGGACAGCCATGGGTTACGTTGGATATATGTATTTTTTGGGGGGCGGGGGAGGGGGTTTTAATGGGGAACCCCTAAATCACCCAAAGACCTATTGCCAGCACTGACAGAAACAGAAGCGAAATCGCCTACTTGGCACTTTTTCTGGGTAGGGCATGGTAGGGCATATTGTGGCAAGGTGATAAGGTAGGAGTAATGAACTGTGGCCAACTCTCTTGTGGAAATTTGGAAGGTACCCTCGTGGAAGCTCAGATTTGTTGATGATATGGGTATGTCTGAAAATGATGGGGTAGAAACCCCAAATTTGGCAACTTAAATGGGGAACTCCGGCTCTGTTTTCTCAATCAGATTTACACATCGCCAGTCGAAAAGTTGTGTTTATGAAGTTACGACCACAAGGAATCGGCATCCTCGGCATGTTTATCAACAACAATGATGGGGGCGCAACCCGCCAGTTCACCCCTTGGTTGGGCCATGTTGGGCCAGCATAGCTCATCTGAAACTGGGCCAGCATAGCTGATCGGATACAGCAGTCAGAAGGTTCTTGGAGGATTATGCCGCGAATCGTAACTGGTTAATACAGGGGTTGGTAACTGTCCCATTTTGGGTATATTGGACATCACCTTATAATAGCCATTATAGACCATATACCTAATGGTTGGGTGATGTTCAATGGGGACATTTAATGACCCATGTAATAAGCCTAGTGGTAATGATTTGCGGACAAACCAAGTTGGTTGTCCCATTTACAACTGGACTAACATCAGTTCCGCGGCCACTTTTCCAGGAACGGACAACCAGCTGTCAGGCTGTCACATGGTTTGGTTGGTAAGAGCGCGATGAACGGCAGCACCTTCAAAGTCCTCAGAAGAACCGCGTCAATGATGGGAATGAAAGGTCTACCATCTTGTAGCAGTTTGCTATGGAAGCAATGGCCCATTTAGTTGGATGATTTACCCAATTAAAAGGGGGGGTGCGTGTGTATGTTTATATATATAAGATACAATAGCTATGTTAAATGTCCAGTGGTTAACATGGGATAAAACGACCCTACAAATGGATGGCGTTGAACAATTCACATGGGCTGGGGCATGAGAAGAAAACTGAGAAAGGCGAATTCAGGGATTCGAAAAGCAGCCCGAATCCCAAAAAAAAACAATGGTAGAAAACATCGGAAATTGTGATTTTACAATACAATTAGTTATGTGTATGTATACGTATATGTATATGTATACATATGTACATGTAGTATATATATATATAGATACATACCATCCCATAAAATATAGAAAAGTGAATTCTCACTAGTTCATTATTTCAATCGCAATTTACCAAGTTCTACATATCTTCTTGGGGATATCTATACAGCATGCCGCGGGCCGGCCGTAGGATGCCGAGGCCGCACCGCCAAGCGTCGCTAAATCCCACAGAAACCTCCCCAAAGCCAAGATCTTCGTTGGGATCCTGGCGAAGGTTGCTGTGGAAGTCCTGAAAGATATGCATAGCCTTTTCGATTGGGAAAAAATCTGGGTAAATTATACCCTCTGGTAAACTAACATAACTATAACTATGGAAAATCACCATGTTTAACGGGAAAATCCACTATAAATGGTCATTTTCAATAGCTATGTTAAATTACCAGAGGGTAAATTATAATATTTCACTAACCTGAATTAATTTGGGGATGATGTCCCTTATTATTAACCATGATTCCAGGGTTCGGTCGCAGTGAGGTCGTGATGAAATTTACCCAGAAAAGATGGAAACATGATGACTTTACATGATCGAAAACCATTGAAAATTGGGAATATCATGGGAGATATTATTAATAAGGAACCAACAATATGAAATGTGGGGGCCCGGTATACCCCCAAAAGGGCATTGGAATGGGGGAACAATGATTAAATGATTCGATGATCGAACATTCGACTCTTGGGTGCCTTATATCTTATTTTATCCCAATTTGAGACAAACCCATGTGATGTAATCCTCTGAAAAATTACATGTCCCCTATGTAAAATTAGGCGTTCCTACTCTTTTGCTGGTCATACTCGGCCGAAAAGATGCTCAAAGTCGTCTTTCTAGGACGGTAAAAGATGATCCCTCCATAATTTCCAGGTTTCCACCGAGAATCCTATCCTTTCTATCAACCTTTTAGGATTCAACCATTCCCTCTGGTAAACGAACTAACACAGATGCACAGATGTGGAAACTCACCATGAAAGTAGACCATTTTCCAAGTGTTTCCCGGTTTTCCACATCTACCTGAGTTTACCCCAGGGTACGCCACCATGAAATCCCATCAAATCCAACTACCATCTGGTTATTTAACATAGCCATGGAAAATCACCATTTTTAATAGGTAAACCATCTATAAATGGGCCATTTTCCATGGCTATGTTAAATAACCAAAGGGTAATTTATATTAAGATACGTTAAGTCTTTGATTAAATCCACACCTATGTGGGCCTAATATTAGTCCCCACCTTGCCCCTGATGACTTCAGCTCCATTCTTCACTGCCCAGTCCACAAGCGTCGGAAACCTCGGTCGACGTGGAGGATCATCCTTTCCCGTAGAAAGTCTACCCTCTGGTAAACATACAAAAAAACGATGAAAAATCACAACTTTTGATGGGAAAATCACCTATTTCTATGGCCATGCAATAAAGTCTACCCTCTGGCAATTTGTTACACTTTGCGAACTTGAACATGGCCCATAGAAATCGGTGTTTTACCCATTGGAAATGGTGATTTGCCAGTTCACAACATGTTTACTGGAGGGTATATACAACTGGGCTATATGGTCAACCAGCTACTGGGATGATCCGACATGGAAGTTTCCAGAAACTCGTGGATGGTGACCTGAACATGAATAGCATATGAAGAGCTGAAATCCATTGAAAGCCATGTGCTAACGAAGATCATGTGATCTGTCATCGGGATGATCATGTTTCAAGTTTCGATGGATTGGTTTGCATTCGTTTGAAGGGAAAATCCGCATATTTATGCATGTTTCACTTGCAAATCCATAGTATCCATGCGTTTCCTATGCAACTTTAAAGGTTGTTTGCGAAAATTTGACCGAGCAAGGGAAAAATCTGAATTTACCATTGGCCAATGGACATGGTTCGTCATTGTTCTCGGAACTTGGACTCCGACAAAAAGTTTTTAAAAGGTGTTTTTTTCAAGACCATTTTTTGGGATAAGATACATCTCCCAATAGTAATGGCAATCATAATACCAGTAGTACCGCACAAGGCGGTGGCGGAAGTTTCAAAAATAGGAAACCTATAGGAGAAGTTGGTTGTTGTGAATCAGGGATGGCAGAGCGAAGCCACTGATTGACCGAAAGGTGGTTGGAGTTGTGTTTGCTGGAGTGGTTGCAATGGTTGCAATGGTCACCTCACCCACAACTGCTGAATGTAGTGTGATGCAATGCAGCTGTAGTTGTAGTTGTAGCGTAGTGGAGTTGTAGTTGCGGTGTAATGCAATTAGTGTAGTGTAGTTGCAGTCATATAGTTGTAGCTGTAGTTGTTTTGTAGTTGTAGTTGTTTTGTAGTTGTAGTTGTAGTAGTAATTGTTGTTGTTGTAGTTGTAGCTGTAGTTGTTGTGTGGTTGTAGTTGTTGTGTAGTGTAGTTGTAGTAGTAGTTGTTGTTGTAGTTGTTGTAGTTGTTGTTGTTGTTGCTGTTGTTGTTGTTGTCGCTGTTGTTGTTGTTGTTGTCGTTGTTGTTGTTGTTGTTCTAGTTGTAGTTGTTGTGTAGTTGTGTAGTTGTGTAGTTGTTGTAGTTGTAGTTGTTGTAGTTGTTGTAGTTGTAGTTGTTGTAGTTGTTGTAGTTGTTGTAGTTGTTGTAGTTGTAGTTGTAGTTGTTGTGGTTGGTGTTGGTGTTGTTGTTGTTGTTGTTGTTGCTGTTGCTGTTGCTGTTGTCGTCGAAGGTAGTTAAGTTAGTGAAGTTAGTTAAGTTAGTCAAGTTAGTTAAGTTAATCAGTGTCTACTTTTTCGACATCTTCACGCCAAAAAAGGCTCAAAACCCTCAGTTTTTTACACTTTTGACTTCGAAATGTGCTTCGCGCCACAACGGCGTGCACTTTTTCGACACTTTTTCGACATCTGAACCTCCAAAAGTGGTCCCAGAATGGTGTGTTTTGTACATTTTCACTTGGAAATGTGCTTCGCGCCACAACGGCGTGCACTTTTTCGACATCTCAACTTCCAAAAGTGGTCCGAGAATGGTGTGCTTTGTACATTTTGACTTGGAAATGTGCTTCGCGCCACAACGGCGTGCACTTTTTCGACATCGCAACTTCCAAAAGTGGTCCGACATTGGTGTGTTTTGTACATTTTGACTTCAAAATGTGCTTCGCGCCACAACGGCGTGCACTTTTTCGACATCTCAACTTCCAAGTCCGCTCCTCTAGTGCTTTGTCCATTTTGACTTGGAAATGTGCTTCGCGCCACAACAGCGTGCACTTTTTCATGTCTCATCTGGCCAGCTGGCTCCGCACCCGCCGCTTTAGCGAGCCTACTTTTCGACCCTCCGGAGCCACAAATCATTGGAAAAACACAGTGAATCGCGACTTTCCTATCTTTTCGCGCATCTACATCTTCTTTCTTCTGATCTTTTCTCTTCTGACTCTTCTCACCTCTGCTTTTCAACTGTCCATATTGTCGGAAGTATAGCTTCTAAACTTCCTTCGAAAAGTTAATTCAATATGTCTGTCTGATGTTTTTCTTGGTGCTACTAATATCTCATATCAATTCCTCGATTTGGAACGAATATAAACATCCAAAACGCACATGTGCAAACCCATTTGGTGTATAATACGTACATGTCCATACGCACGCATACACATAACATCACGGCTGCCATGTAGGGTGGTCTCAATCAGCCAGATCGACTATACATATATGGGAGGTTTCCTAAAATGGGGGTACCCCTAAATCATCCATTTATAGATCGGATCTTCCCTTATAAAGTCTTATAAACCATCCAGCTATTGGGATATCCCCATTTATGGAAAGCCTCAAGCCTAGATGTGTATACATACCCGTGTGGGGTGGGCTACCAGTAGGGTAAGCCCTGAAACACTGCCCAGCATGGCCCAGCAACATCTCCTTATGCCCTCGGCTCAAAGCAAAAACTGTCCATCTGATGTCCTTCAAGGATCTGCACTATTCCAGGGTTGTGGGAACCCATTCATATCCCATATGCTCCATGGTGCTGGAATGGCCCAGTTTTGTAGGTAAATAATGGTAAAAATATGGGTATTGATAACCCTTCCATCTTTGCTGTTTTCTGCCAAATCGTCTTCATTTGTTTGCGGAAATTCCTAGCTCAGCGGGTGTCTGCAGTGGTCAACCCTGGGTTTCATAGAAAACTTGAGAGGTCGCAGAGGACAACGTGGTAGCAAGTCCCAGAGTTCACGACAGCGAAAATATGTCTGTTGCGTATCCCGTCAAATCCCTGTAACGTGGATTTAACATTCCCTGGTGTTACACCTGCGGATACGGAATAGTTTGGTTTTATTATGCTTTATTAGCTTCCATTCCACCCTCACTATAGCCCGTATCACCTTCTCTTCGGCCATAAATTGGCTGGAACCCAATTCCGTCCCATAGCTCGAAAAGTCGTTCTCATGAAGGAAAATACCACATTTTGTTGATGTACCACCCCCAAAGTTAACATAGACCCTGCCAGGTAAGGGATTGAACAACTTTTTTCCTATAGGTCCTATAGTTTCTTCTATAGAAACATTGTAATAATATGTGTCCCCATCCTCAGGGTCTATGACTATGCGAAACTTCTCTAATAAAATTGCCTTTGGGTGATCATCATATTCGCTAATTCATTGGCATTTTGTGGGTAGGCGACCATTTTCAGACACACCCACATGTCAGAATCATAACAAGTTGCTGACTTAAATGGCATATCTCAATTATATCCACACAATTCCCCGTGTTAAAAGGTTCAAACACAATATCATATTATATCCCATTATATCCCAATAAAGCGTTTAATCACAATTATCTCAATATCTCCCACTAAATCTTTATTAAATCCCCATGAAATCCCACAAAAAAACACCTTTTCTTTGCATGGTCAACTCCCCCAACAAGGCGATGGAGCTGTCCCCGGCCGAAGCTGTCCTGGTCCTCACTGAGCTCAGCCTCCTTCAAACTCACTCCGCCACCGCCCATGGCCAGCACTCGAGTGGCCCCCGTCACCTCCGCCATGGGGTCCCACTGGGAATTCTGCCATCTGATTGCAGTTTAAAACAAAAAACATGAGCAATTCCATAGACATGGTGATTCAACCAATGAAACTTGGGATTTATTGGGAAAACGTGTTTTTTTGGATAAAACTATGGAAACATGCACAGGCTGCACAGGGTGATGTTACCTTTCTTTCCTCTCCAGATTGGGATTTAATGGGATATTTCATGGGAATATCATGGGATACAAACTAAGCAGCAATATGAGAGATCGAGTCATTCTGAAAGGATCTCACCCAATAAACTATCCACAATGCTGCCAGAAATGGGTGGTATAAACAACCGAAAATTGGATGTTCATTATAGGACCTTTTGGAAAATATCACATTACCAAAAAAAAAACGGACCCGAGTTGACTAGCCACCAAAGAGGTAAATTCATCGGAAATCGAAGAAGTACCTTGTGGTAAACTAACATACGGTTGTGGAATTCAGCATTTAATAATATGTAAATCGTCTACAAATGGGCCATTTCCATAGTAAACTGTTCCTTTACTGGAGGTCAACGGTAAAATCAGGAAATTACCAGGTGCTCAGCGTGGAAACACTTGGCATCACTTGGCCGTGTCCTTAAACATGGTGCCTTCCAGATGTGGTCCTCGATTGCTTTTAGATGTATCCATCCTGGTAATTTGAGAGCTTGCTATGGAAGATGGCTCACTTGCGATAACTATGTCAAAAAACGGGAAGGTATTCATCCTGGAGTGGATAAAATGTACGGCGCAGTAAATGTTCACCCCCCTTGCGAAGAACCAATCATTTGACCACAAAAACTATCACTCATGTACTCCTGGATGATGGTACTAGTTGGCGGGAATGGATTTCCATAATCTACTAGAATCTATCATAATTTGCTATAAGACAAAACCTTGTGTTCAAGACACTTCAATTCAGTTGTGTCCAAATATATGAGGATAAATCATGTCAAAATACAGGAAGAATAGATAGTTAGTATAGTTCTACAATGTTCTGCATCATCATCATCATCATCATCATCATCACCATCATCATCTTCATCCTCATCCCAGCCCTGGTGTCATCAGCACCCCCATGAACATCATCGTCATTATCATCATCATAAACATCATCAAACCCATCATCAACATCACCATCATCATCATCATAATCATCATCATCATCATCATCGTCATCGTCTTCTTCATCATCGTCATCGTTGTTATCATCGTCATCGTCTTCGTCGTCACCGTCGTCATGATCATCATCATCGTCGTCGTCATTGTCATCGTCATCGTCGCTATAATCAATAACCATCGTCATCGTGATCGTCGTTATCATCATCGTCACCGTCGTCATCATCATCATCGACGTCGTCATCGTCATTGTCCTCGCCGTTATCATCATCATCGTCATCGTCATCATCGTTATCATCATCGTCACCGTCGACATCATCATCATCATCATCATCATCATGATCATCATCGTCGTCGTCGTCATCGTCATCATCATCGTCGGTATCATCATCGTCGTCATCATCACCGTCATCGTCGTTTTTATCATCGTCATCGTCGTCATCATCACCATCGTTGTTGTCATCGTCATCGTCATCGTCATCGTCGTTATCACCATCATCGTCGTCAGCATCATGATGATGATCATGATCATGATCATGATCATCATCATCGTCGTCGTCGTCGTCATCGTCATAGTCATCGTCACCGTCGTTATTATCATCGTCGTCATCGTCATCGTCTTTATCATCATCTTCACCGTCGTCATCATCATCATCATCATCGTCGTCGTCATCGTCATCGTCGTTATCATCATCATCGTCATCGTCATCGTCGTTATCATCATCGTCACCGTCGTCATCATCATCATCATTATCATCATCGTCGTCGTCGTCATCGTCATCATCGTCGTCGCTATCATCATCGTCGTCATCGTCATCGTCATCGTCGTTATCATCATCGTCACCGTCGTCATCATCACCATCGTTGTCGTCATCGTCATCGTCACCGTCGCTATCATCATCATTGTCGTCATCATCGACATCGTCGTTATCATCATCGTCCCCGTCGTCGTCATCACCATCGTTGTCGTCATCGCCATCGTCATCGTCATCGTCGTTATCATCATCATCGCCGTCGTCATCATCATCATCATCAGCATCACAACCCATTTGGTCAAGCTAGCCTCCCGCGGTGTCCTCAAACTTACCACCATGGCACCTTAATTGCCGCACGTCCCAAGAGGACAAAGCTTTTCCGAGCTGGTGGAAGATCTTGGCAGTCCCTGAGAGGGGTGGTTGAGCTGGTGCATCTTTTCGGAAAAAATGAATCTAACTGGCATAGAAACCCATGAATTTAAGTAGTGATAAAAGTCTGGACGTTCGGACATCCCATTGTTGCATTACCATAGCTATACAGTAGCTGAGGTATTTCAATATGGTTGGTATCTGCGGACCCTAACAGGGATGCACCCACATGCCACAAGCAAGAACTCCCGCCTGGACGGTGAAGTGATTGATGATGATAATAATGATGATAATAATGATGATGATGATGATGCCGATGATGAGGATGAGGATGATGATGATGATGATGACGATGACGATGACGATCATAATGGTGATGGTGACGATGACGATGACGATGGCGATGGCGATGGCGATGATGATGATGATGATGATGATGGTGATGATGATGATGATGATGGTGATCATGATGGTCATGATGGTCATGACGGTCATGATGATGGTCATGATGATGGTGATGATGATGATCATGATGATGTTCATGATGATGATCATGGTGATGATCAGGATGATTATGATGATGATGATGATGATAATTATGATGATGATGATGATGATGGTGATGATGATGATGCCGACGATCATGCCGACGTTCATTAGAAAATAACGTTTTCAAAAACGAAACACGAAAATAAAACCGCTGGTCGTTTTAGATCACCATTGCATGTAGGGAATACCTGGAATGGAAACTTCTGGTTGCCAAAAAGCCAAATGGTTGGCGCCTAAAAATGTGCTATACCGGTATGCCCCCAAGTACTGGCATGATAATCTTGAGAGGCAAAGGATGTTCAAACCATCAAATTTCCCTCAAACCCAGAACTCAAACACCTATGGCCGACAACCTTTCAAGTGGAAAATGTCTGGATTTCTGCGGAAATTGTGGATGCCCACAATGTGTCCGTGCTTCGATTCCTCGAATTTTCTCGCGGGATACTTCAGTTGCACATTTTGCGATCCGTCTTAAACTGCCGATTTATGAAAGCACTCGTCGCACTGCGCAAATGTCATTGGACAACTGAAATTCACCCTCCAATAAATTAACAGTTTGCTATGGAAATTTGTTTGTCCCACAATTAGGTTGCAGCCCAGAAGCAGTAAGTTGGACAAGCTTAGCCCTCAAAATGTGAATTAGCACAATTTACAATTTGTTGAGGCTAATTAGAGTTACTGTAATCATTATTTCCCCCGGTGTAACGCAATATTTACACAATTGCATAATTTAATGGTAAATCCGCCATTTTCAGATTTTAAAGAATCGAAACATCCACTATATCCCAAGATTGATAAAGTTGGTTTGTTCTATCCCATGAACTATCCCCATGTTCATATCCCATGAAAACCAACATCAACCACCATTTCCCCAGCGTATTTTCCTTACCATTTTTCAGACGAATTTTCGCCCACCTGATCTTGAAATGTTTTTTCTCGGCTAGTTAAATCCCATTCTATCCCATGAACTCCCGATGTTCGTTCAGTTGATAAATCCTAATTTTCAAAAGTCAAATATTGTCAAATCCTGATTTTCAAGGGGTAAAAAAATCAGTGGTCAAAGTCCCAGTTCTCAATGGTCAAATCCACATTTTCGAGGGTTAACTCATGTTAAATCACAGGTTTTCAGACCCCCACCTGATCTCGGCGGGCCCCAGCAATCGTAGAGGATCCTGTGGTACCTCCACAGGAATTACCGCCAGCCGTCCTGGGAACATCTCAGCAACCTGCCATGGGATGGACTGTGATGAGCATCAAAAGAGTTGGCGATAAACCAACTGGTTGGTGGTTTCAACCCCTCTGAAAAATATAAAAGTCAGTTGGGAAGATTATTCCCAATATATGGGAAGATAAAAAATGTTCCAAACCACCAACCAGCAAAAGATGATGATGTGGAAGTTTTCATGCACGAGTGGTTGGTAGTCATGATGACAACCCACTTCTTAACAATAATGCGACTTGCTGACTAGTGGGGCATGTGGGGAGCCAAAGCGCCCTCTTCGGTCCAAATCGATGGATGAAATTATCACCCACAAATTTCACGGAGGCTGTCAGGTCTTTGCCGATAGAGATCGTTAAATATAGTTGACCGTCACACTTTCTACCATTCTACCTAGCTACTTGGCTATATGGCTTCAAATGATCTCCAACATATACTTCATCGGTCGCGGTACTGTCGACAACAATCTGCCAAGCTGCCCACAGAAACTTACTTAGTTTATCCTGGTTTCATCATCCGCAAGAGGGATGGAGCATGTTACAGCAGCAACTTTGCTGCCGGTGCCCCCATCCAGTACTGCCTATGGCCCACGGATTCTCAATGATGGGGATTCACCCAGGTCTGCCTTGCTCCAGCTCTTCTTGAAACTGGCCATAGATGACTCACTGATCTGCCTGGCAAAGGCGTGCCAAACGAAGAGTAATATATAAATTCGGATGGTTTACTAGATTTAACTAGTAATTTAAGGGAGTTTTGAGGGGATTGCCTTCAAAAAAAAAAATGGTACCACCCATTTTTTGCAGCCGTCCCATTTGGAAGGGTAGGGTTGCCCACGGGACCTTGGGGCCATTGCAAAACTCGATTCGAACATCTCGGAGGTATCGAGAAAAACTGGCATTTCAACCCGCTTTGTTGAAATCGCGAAATCATCAGCAATGGACTTACACATCGTAAGCAGTACTACCGTAGATGGAGGAAATACAGTATCCAAGCCCCTTCTCCAATGTGTCCGCTGCAGTGCATTGACCCCACCGGACGAAAGAACTCCCTTACCACAGCGCATTTGGTAGTACGTGCGCTGAAACATTGAGATTTGGGGATTGGGGATTGAAGGTCACCAAAAAATGCAGTGCAAGGTTTCAATATGTTGTCCATCTGTGTCCATCCACTGTACAGTTTTGCTGATGCTACTGCAGTCAGACACAGACACACAGGGAATGAAACTGGGTCAAAACTGGTTTTCAACCTGGGACTAGTCACTTCAGCCAATTGCAAATACGCCTACGTATAAGTATAAGTAATAGCAATTGCACCCACCGATGAAACCAATCATGTTCTTCACATGCAAATTCAAACCATATTGATTGCTGTGAGGGTGGATGACTTCAAGAAACCAAACCAAATCTGTCAACTCAGGCCATGATTTTCCACTTAAGGCAACCGGAAACCCATCAAAGACGTGGGCGCTTTTTGATCACGGGCTAACGTGCCGTAAACAACGCTAGGAGTCCCTGACGTTTGCCCAAAGTCGACAGGAATTCCCGCATAAGGTGATGCCAACACCTTTCGAACCAGGTAACCATGTTTTAAACACATTCTCCACAGTGACTTCAAATGCCTGCCGGAAGCCACCTCAGCGAGGAGTGTGTAGTTCACTGCATCGCTGGCACGTTGCTACCTATGGTTTCGTACTTGCAACCGAGCGGCAATACTACCAAGGAGGACACCCTCATCGACCGGGCCCGATAAAAACTCGTGGGCCCAGTCCGTGAACCGCTCGGCTCTGGTCTAGATGTAATTGGAACATCCAGACCAGGAGCCGTGCTGGTCATATCCCCAATCCCGGAAAAGCAAATCGAATGCTGTTGTTTTGCATTGCTGCTGTCGTTCGTTTCATCTGATTCCCCGCCCATCCTCCTTTAAATGCCACATGCGAACTGTGGGCGGAAGGATTGCGATCACCCGGTGGTCGCCTGTGCGCAGAGGCCCAACTTGATTGCAACTCACAAGTGCATGAAAGGACATGTAGTTGCCAGGCCTGGCTTTGCTTGTGCCACCGCAAACCAAAAGGCAACAAGCGGCGAAGCCGACCAGGACAACCACGGGGAGTCCTGCACATATGAAATTTGAATGTTGCCTTCTTGCAATCATGAAAACTTGCTGAGGCGACGACGCGGGGGTTTTTGGCAACATGCTGCCAAATACACTTGACAGCAGTGCCTTTTGGAGCCAAGCAGAACTTGAGCTCCGCGGCGCCCCGAAACAGGCAACCTGAAACACGCTGCCCTTTGAATTTACATGGCTGTGCCCTTTTGATTTCGTCGATTGCTGACCAAATCCCCGGCCTGTCGGGTAGTGTCTTCCGGAGAAGCGGCCGCCAAAGGTACAAGGCAAGGCAGCAACCTGGAATCACGACGTGCTGTTCCGCAATTACTTAGTTGGCAACACGTAGCAAGACGTCTTTACACACAATACCCTGCTGAGGTAGGTGCTGAACACGCGTCATCGCCCTTCATCTGGGCATCGGCGTCCTGGAGGTTAACAGCGACATAGCACAATGATGTGTGCATATGTTGCATCCCGATGCTAGTCTCCTCCATCGCAACATCTTGCTGCTTCCGGGCCCACACCATTTTAGAAGCCTAATCGACCATGTGCTGGGTTGTGAAAGTACTGTTCCGATCATTGGTCAGTGCTTTTTGCTTAGGCCGGGACTGGCATTGAAGCACCTGAACACGGAGCGGCTCTCAACCCAGCATGGAAACAATGTAAAACAACCGACCGTTTTTTGGTATGCATTACAGTACTGATATCAACGTCTGAGCTTCCAACCGTGTGAAAGACAAAGCGAGCTAGACACGCGAAAGTCAAAGCTTTAAAGCCAAAAAGCGCTGCAAGGAAACAATGAAGTGTTTTGCAGAAGCCAACTTCATGTCAGCGCTTTTCGATTGCCTTTTATCATGCAGCCAAGCAGATTACACAACCAAACCTTAAAACTAAATCATGCTTCTGGCACGGCGGGAGCCGGAGTTAATGCAAAAACACAGCATTCCCCGGCAACAGCAGTGAAATAAGACCAAACATGATCTAAGCCCACCGCGAACCAAATGAAGCCCAGTACTGGCCCCACAAACGCTTGCACAACGATGCGCTATTCTGTGGGTGGTGCATCTTTTTAGACCACGGCTTCTGCCCAACTTCTCAGTTCACCTTTGCGTAACACCGGGTGCAAGCCCTGCACCACATGCCAAGCTATGCTCAATCAGCACGATGAAGAAATTGATGTTGCATACCTTAGAGCAGCTTCCATTGTCTTTGCTATCCAGTGGCGCTGGTCTTGGTCCGGAAAGTTTGTCCATCATGTCTAGTGGCATCCTATCCAACTATTGCTACCCATTGAATCAAAACATCAGATGTTGAAAAATTAATTTGCGTGCTTGATGCTGATGACAGGCTTTGAAGACAACATTCTGTGGCCACACCCATTTGTCGCATCTGTCCTCACGTCATCAGGTCCTATCTTTTCAGAATCTACTTTGCCTTGACCTTTTCGGTTGTGGCCGGGGCATTCCAAACACCGTTGTTTCCTCAACAGGGGGGTATCAAACAAACAATTGCCAAACGCAATGTGCCAAAATTTTGTTGTACCAGGTTACGGCCACAAACCCCGAAAACGCCAAAAGCGCAAAGGAAGATTCTGAAACAGTATTTTGTTCATACTTTTTGAAAACGTACCTCTACTATACCCCCGGAAACCGGGACAAGAAGAAAATATAAGAAAATGTACTTAGTGAATTTTCCGTTTTTCGACGGTTTCTGATTCAGAAACGGTGCGCGGGAGATATTTCGGCAAGTCGGCCGGTTAACAAAACACAAGCGCGGCGCTATCAAAACCAAACCGGCGGAAAATCCCAGGCCCCTGCTTCCCAATCCGGGCGTGTCACCGCAAACCCGCTGGCACGCAAATCGCGTCCCAGCATGGTTGGTTTCTCTGCTGGCACGTGAACGCTTCTCTGCTGGCACGCCCCGGCGCGTGCCAGCAGAATTGCGGGGGACCCCTGGTCCCGGCATCTCTGCTGGCACGTGGTTGTCCTTCATTTTTCGCAATTTGTAGCGTAAAGATCCTTAAACGAAATTCCTTGACAAGCTGTATCAAGCTGTAACTTGCAAGACCCTCAGAGAACACCAAATTAATCGACACTCAAATAAACACCAAACCGATCCAAAATAAGCCATAAGCACACCCCAAATCCACTCAAAGACCTTGCGGATAGACGAAAACAACCTTAAATAGCCCCAACAGCTTTAAACAAACCTAACATAACAAAACCCTAAACCAACCCGAAGAAAACCCTAAAATGATCCTAAATAAACCCTAAACCAATGCTAAACAAACCCTCGGAAGTAACTCATGCCCATTTCCCCCAATGAAACGTTGGGCAAACGCCCGCCCCGGAATAAAACTGGCAATGCTACTAACCACGGGGATCACCCGCAAGAGTGACAAATTTGGTGATAAATAATGTTCTGTTGACCCCCCTCACAAAAACCAGCCAAGAGTGTCTGTTGTCTTTCTATTGTTAAGTTGGGTTCACACGAGTTATAATATATCCCATGGGATCCATGTATGGTATATATGCTAACATTTACCATCAATATACCCCAAATGTTAGCATATATACCATACATGGATCCTATGGGTATGATAATTATTAACATTAGCTATTCGTTTTCCCAATGGTAAACACAATCATTCCGCATTTCCTCAGCCCAACGTTCCCCAAAAACCCTTCTCGGAACCGCCTAAAGGCGGCGGCACGGCGGTCTGGCCCAAAGTCTAAGAACTTTGGGACCAATCCTCAGAACACCATGGATGATATGGGGATTTACCCTCTGGTTATGTCAAAATAGCTATTGAAAATGGCCATTTATAGTGAGTTCTCCCATCAAAAATGGTGATTTTCCATAGTTATGCTAGTTTACCAGAGGGTAACAATGACTCATGATAAAAATGGGGATTTCATGGCATACGATGGGCAATAATGGGCATAGATCTGGCTGAATTATGATGAAATTTAACTATTCACCAGCGTGAGGGCCATTTGGGGATGATTTTTTTTTAAACCCCGTACTGCATACTGAGAGCAATATGATGGATTTTCATCTGTGCAGAATATAGATGTTCACGAAAATTTGGTTAGGCTTTGATGCTGCTGCTACTCTAGTGAGCGCTTAATTTCTCAAGCTGGGCCCCACCGTATCCAAATGTACTTGCAAGTACGACGTCAACTTCCGCGAAAACATTCTTTGGATATTGGCGCACAGCAACCCAGCCAATGCTTGTATCAATGGACCATGAGCAATTTCTTTGAGCATTGAAACATCCAACAAATTTGGCATGAACATGGCCTGCCGGAAAAACCTGAGCCATGATTTTCCCAGCGAACCAAAGCTTCATTGAGTTGGATGATTTTCCTGCCAAATACCAACCGCAAAACCATCATTTTCTGAATAATAAGTCGGTTTTCCCACTAGAAAACCATTAAATCACAATTTTAAGAATATGACTAATGTATATATCTATATCTATGTCAATCGGTTTTCCCTCATAAAATCACAATTTCTTTTAATGGGCCATGGGTTGTAACCGATGCCTTTGATGACCTCCAGCTGGTGTCCCCAATGTCCAAGCATCGGGTGAAGCTGCTCAAGCTGTAGTCATCTCCATCCCAGACCTCATGAGAAATGGTTTATATAGTTATGTTTAGTTCAGATTGGTTGAGGTATAGGGTTTTGTTATGTTTACTGGTTGGTGGTTGAGCCTACCCCTCTGAAAAATATGACTTCGTCAGTTGGGATATGGAAAAATAAAAGCCATGTTTCAAACCACCAATCAGGTTTAGTTCAGATTGGTTGAGGTGTGATGAGCTATGGGGGGTTCCTAATTGGTTTTCCCATTTCAGCAAAAACCTGGATGATACCTTGGGGTATCCCCATGACTTAGGAAACCTCCATATGGTTGTGGGCCAAAACCCTGATACCTAGACTGGTAGGTAGCCTCTAAAACTGCTGGGATCTATGGATGTGAATAAATCCCCAAATAATACTAGGTTTTTTGACCCATCCCCATATATAGGTTCAGATAGGTTACTACTGATTGATGGGAGATCCCTGCTTATATAATCCACGTACTAAGTGGGATGCACATCCAAGTAGATAAAGATAGATTAAGATAGCTTGTAGCGATCCCCCCAAAAAATAGAACAATAAAATTTGCTGAAGTAGTAAGAAAAATCCCGGTTTCATCTTTTTGGGATTGACAAAAATGTATGGTTTATCGATGTTTTTCTGGTTGCTTTTAAACTTGCGATCCCCTCAGGAGATTGCAGAAACACCTCCTACTTGTAGCCTAAATGGTCCCAAGAAATGTGGTTTCATCCCCTACTACTGGGATATTAGGACTTTTTAGGGGACCATTAAATGATATCCCAATATAGTATTGGGGGTGCTTAATATTGGGATATTAGATGATATTAGCAGGAGATCTTCAAGATCAGCTGCAAATCACATATAAAATAATAATGTTGGTTTTACTTTCTGTCACGCCCACAGATACAATATGATTGCATACCCAAAAAAAATCACTATCATGTAACCAGTTTGCATCGCTGATTTGCCACTGGGATTTTGCAGTGGGTGGTTATAGTCAATTCTAGTTCTAGTTTTTATGTAATGATTACATTGTCAGGGTTCCAGTGTATTCTTTTGGTTATTCCGTTGTTATATCACAACTAGATTTTCCCATTAAAACATCCATTTACGCCATACTATATTCCTTTTTACCACCATTTGCATTGGTTAAGCAACATGTTTTGTGGTCATATTCCCCGCGTTTCATGGTGACCATTGTTCATAGTTACGAACCACCATTTTCAATGATCAAATCACCATGCTCATGGTTTAAACCCTATTTTTCATCCGTAAATCATCTTAGATCACCTTGAAATTATCCAACCAGTTCTGAGGACGCCGCCAGCAAGCTGCACTCCTCTTGCAAGGTCTTAAGGACATCCTGCGCCCCCGGCCGGAGCTGATGGGTGGGGAAAAAACATGAAAAAACCCAAACAAGCAGGCTGAAGTTCATGGTGATTAATGGGATTTCATGGTGATAGCCATGGGTTTTTGGGACGGGATTTTGTTAGTGAATCCGGCTGAAGTATACGAATTGGCCATTCAAAATGGTGGCTTCAGCCGGACGTTCATGAGGATATTCACCATTCAATCGGACTTGAATCACTCAACGAATTGATTTTTTTCTGGCTGAATTATAGTAACCTTTTTTTTTTGTCATCCAGGTCACAGTAAGGTTTGGAGAAAAAAACCTTTCCAAGCTGTAAATAGCTGCGATAAGGTCATTTGGGGATGAAATAAGGTCATTTAGGGATGATTCCCCCTTACTAATTAACCATCATTCTTTCCCGTCACAGTGAGGTCATTTTCATTCATCCAGAAAAATGGTGATTTAATGCACCTGATTTAACAATGCAAAATGGTGGTTTAATGGGACATTGGTGGGGATATTGACGTTTCAATGGGAATTTAGCCATTCAACATGTGGATTCAATGGTGGTTTAGTTTAACCATTGAACTTGAGAAGCTTAAGCAACACAAATGAAGTATATATAGAATCGACTGCAATGGGGATAGAATGGGATGTTAGGGTGATAAAACCATTGAAAATTGGCCATACTTGAAATATCATGGGATATCCCTATGTAACTATATAATACATATATATATATATAAATAACTAAGCAGTTGATTATGACTGTGATGATATGATTGTCCCATTGAAATGCTGCTTCACCAATTTTGGGATGCTGATTCCATGGGATTTCATGGTGGTATCTTAGGGATAGATCAGCGTCAAAAATCTAATCTAATTGCGAACTGCTTCTACTATGTTCTACGGGTTTGTTTAACGCTTACTGTATCTAACTAGTGGGACATAATGATTTTGCACGTAGAACCACAAAATTAACAATAGAACAAGGCATCTTCTCTAAATTCTTTCTATTTACAGGATCGCGCCTTTAAAGTTCAATGGTTCCAGCAGACGTCAAACATGAGGGAAGAAAGTTGTAAATCCTCAATCTTGATCAAAATCTTGCAAACGTTTCCAGCGCGCGGCTCTTTTGGCTAACGTGCCACACCAATGGCCCATGTCGTTGCTGCTACCGGCTGTCTGTCGCGCTACTGTCTTTGAAGCAAACACTGCTCTTGGGTCTTGGGTTTTCAAGTGCAGCGAGCTGACCAATGGGCAAGCGTATTCTTGGGGGATCTAGCGCGGATCTACCGCCAGAGCTACGTTTAGCCTAGCCGTGAAAAAAATAAAAACAATTGTTTCTACATATCTATTACAAGTTACCTTTGTGTTGCTGGCCAAAACGAAGCGGCAATGCAGTTCAAAGAGGTCTACGCAAAGTAAGGCTACTGTGGGGTTGCCCAAGCAGGACCGGGAACAACAGTTGCAAGCGAGCAAGCATTGGGCCTGACAATATTTCACTCTATTTCACTTCAATGGCTATGTAAAAGTACCTAGCGCCGCACCAACGCAAACCTAGCGCCAAGGTGCAGGAAAACAATGTCACTGCATGTATACAGGACTCCACCTTCTAATGAGATCTAAAATGCATCACTGCCTAATTATATCTAATTATCTATGTCCTTCGGATCTAACAATTCCTTATAAGTAAGGCGGATCCCCTCAGCAATCCGTTCCCACAGAAACCATGGTGGATGTAGGGGATGAAATCACATATGACTGGATGCCCCTCATGTAAACTAACAGTTTGCTATGGGAAATGGACCATTTATTGATGATATGCTGTCGCGATTGCAAAAGGGTTCAACTGTGTTTATCCTTTCAATAAATACATGAATAAATATATATATATAATTATATATATATATCTGTGTGTGTATGTGTCCTTATCTATACAATATATGTATATATAATATATATATATATATCCTACCGATTTCCCACGTACAAGTATACCCCACATATTTCACTATCCATCTTTGGCAAAGACCTGGATCACCAGGGCTCGACGAAATTCATCGCACCTCGTCGTAGTACATCCCCAGCTCGTTGGCAAAGCCCTTCAGATGAACCACACGTGCTGAGGGGATGTCCTCAGCAGGGATGACATCCGCAGGGACCCGACCCTGGGACCGGGATTTTCGGGAACCAAACAAGGAAAACCCCTTGAGAAATAGTGGTTTTTGGCATTTTATAGCTGGGAAAAACATGGAAAAACATCATTTTTGCAGCAGGCTCTCTCTTCATCACCGTCTCAGCGAGATGCTGAAGGCAAGCTGCGACTTGGCGTTTGGTGCAGCTGAATTTGGGGTCAAACTCCATCTTGGGGCTCCTTGATCCCATCACCTCCTTTAATTTGCAGATCTACCATGATCAGCACATACCCCCTTTCAATATCTTCCAATATCTTCTAATATATATATATATATATGTGTGTGTGTGTTCCAATCATATATCTCTTCCAATATCTTCCAAAATCATCCCATCACCATCAACGCTCCAACTTATATTTCCGTTCTTGCGGGTGATATTTCACGGCTGCCGTGAGGCCGCTCAATTTTCAGACAAGTCTCCGATCGCCAGGAGTCAAAAGAATTTAAGCTCACCTGCTGAGAGAGGGCTTGAAAAAGTGGTTTAACTGGTTGGTGGTTTCAACCCCTCTGAAAAATATTAGTCAGTTGGGATGATTCTTCCCAATATATTGAAAAATAAAAAATGTTCCAAACCACCGACCAGTTTAACCATGTTAAACCCCCCATTCTATGGCCGCTTTAAAGAAGAAAAACCCGGGAAAATGATGACAAATGATGATGTACTTGGGGGATCTTGGGGGGGGTGCTGCAAATGGGTCAAATTTACGGTTTAGCTATGGAAATGACCCGCAGCATGTTGAAAAAAGGGTGACTCATCGAACTAAATGCACCATGTTCATTCCATTTTCGCCATGATTGCCTACCGGGTATACGATCACCCGTGATCACCTCGTAGCCCCGCCCCGCCCAATGGTTAGAATCACCCAGAATCATGTGGATCAAATCCATGGAAATCATGGAAAATCTCACGGATCAGTTCATTTCAGGATGGAACTGTTGATTTCTAAATCTATCTTGGGATATGATATGTCAATGGAAGTTTCTCACGCTTTCAGGTACCCTCTGGTAATTCAACGTATAGGAAAATCACCAGTTTTAAGAACGGTAAATGATCTGTCAATGGGTCATTTCCCCTAGCAAACTTTTAGTTTATCGGAGGGTAAATCCTATTATATCCCGTTATTTTCCGTTTCAAATCATATTTCAAATATACCCCTTGGAATTTGGGGGGCGGGGTTGGGGGAGCCAAAACGTAGAGGGACTCAACCACCCCTCCACTACAGAATGGTTGGAGGCTCCTTATAAAATGGTTTTGAAAGGTATTTTCGCGGAAATCAAGCAAAAACATAAATTTGTAGTAATTTTCAAATCCCATTTGATGCTTTTCCCCTTGTCTGTTTTCGTGCCTTGCAGGCTCATGTACAAACCTCACCTCACATCTAATTTGAACATGCACTGGCTCGGGGCCGTGGAGAACCTTTGAAAAGATCGTGGGAACACAAACTACCCGGCCTGGTAAACATACAAAAAGCTATTGAACATGGTAACATGGCCATAGAAATAGTGAGTTTTCCCACCATAAATTGTGCTTTTCCATAGTTTTTTGTATGTTCACCAGAGGGTAGCCTGGATGAAAAGAAGCCAAATATTGGGCCAAAAACCCCAAAAGCGGCCGATGAAGGCCACGGCTTTGATTTCAACTCCCATCCCAAATCCCATCCCAAACCCGGCCCGGGAAAAAAAAAACATGAAACCCATTAAATCATCATAAATCATCATAAATCATCATAAATCATCATAAATCATCATAAATCATCATAAATCATCATAAACCATCATAAACCATCATAAAGCATCATAAAGCATCATAAATCATCATAAAGCATCATAAAGCATCATAAACCATCATAAACCATCATAAACCATCATAAACCATCATAAACCATCATAAAGCATCATAAAGCATCATAAAGCATCATAAAGCATCATAAAGCATCATAAAGCATCATAAAGCATCATAAAGCATCATAAAGCATCCTAAAGCATAAAGCATCCTAAAGCACCCTAAAGCATCATAAAGCACCCTAAAGCACCCTAAAGCACCCTAAAGCACCCTCAGCCTAAAGCATAAAGCACCCTAAAGCATAAAGCACCCTAAAGCACCCTAAAGCACCCTAAAGCACCCTAAAGCACCCTAAAGCATAAAGCACCCTAAAGCACCCTAAAGCACCCTAAAGCACCCTAAAGCACCCTAAAGCTAAAGCCCTAAAGCACCCTAAAGCACCCTAAAGCAGCCCTAAAGCTAAAGCCCTCCTAAAGCACCCTAAAGCACCCTAAAGCTAAAGCATCCTAAAGCACCCTAAAGCTAAAGCATCCTAAAGCATCCTAAAGCCCTAAAGCACCCTAAAGCACCCTAAAGCACCCTAAAGCACCCTAAAGCACCCTAAAGCACCCTAAAGCACCCTAAAGCACCCTAAAGCACCCTAAAACACCCTAAAGCACCCTAAAGCACCCTAAAGCACCCTAAAGCACCCTAAAGCACCCTAAAGCACCCTAAAGCACCCTAAAGCACCCTAAAGCACCCTAAAGCCCCCTAAAGCACCCTAAAGCACCCTAAAGCACCCTAAAGCACCCTAAAGCACCCTAAAGCACCCTAAAGCACCCTAAAGCACCCTAAAGCACCCTAAAGCACCCTAAAGCACCCTAAAGCACCCTAAAGCACCCTAAAGCACCCTAAAGCACCCTAAAGCACCCTAAAGCACCCTAAAGCACCCTAAAGCACCCTAAAGCACCCTAAAGCACCCTAAAGCACCCTAAAGCACCCTAAAGCACCCTAAAGCACCCTAAAGCACCCTAAAGCACCCTAAAGCACCCTAAAGCACCCTAAAGCATCCTAAAGCATCCTAAAGCATCCTAAAGCATCCTAAAGCATCCTAAAGCATCCTAAAGCATCCTAAAGCATCCTAAAGCATCCTAAAGCATCCTAAAGCATCCTAAAGCATCCTAAAGCATCCTAAAGCATCCTAAAGCATCCTAAACCATCCTAAAGCATCCTAAAGCATCCTAAAGCATCCTAAAGCATCCTAAAGCATCCTAAAGCATCCTAAAGCATCCTAAAGCATCCTAAAGCATCATAAAGCATCCTAAAGCATCCTAAAGCATCCTAAAGCATCCTAAAGCATCCTAAAGCATCCTAAAGCATCCTAAAGCATCCTAAAGCATCCTAAAGCATCCTAAAGCATCCTAAAGCATCCTAAAGCATCCTAAAGCATCCTAAAGCATCCTAAAGCATCCTAAAGCACCCTAAAGCATCCTAAAGCACCCTAAAGCACCCTAAAGCATCCTAAAGCATCCTAAAGCATCCTAAATCATCCAAATCAGCCTAAATCATCCTAAATCATCCTAAATCCTAAAGCATCCTAAATCATCCTAAATCACCTAAATCACCATAAATCTAATCATCAAATCATCATAAATCATCATAAATCATCATAAATCATCATAAATCATCATAAATCATCATAAATCATCATAAATCAGAGGGCCGGTATGGTCTAGTGGATAAGACGCATCCCTCATGCGTCAGACCCGGGTTCAATACCCGGGTGCAACACTAGGCGGACAGGCGGGCCACTACCCCACCCTTGCAGTTAAGGGGATGAGCTAGGGTGTGGTCCGTAAAAACAGTCTCCATCATCATAAATCATCATAAATCATCATAAATCATCATAAATCATCATAAATCATCATAAATCATCATAAATCATCATAAATCATCATAAATCATCATAAATCATCATAAATCATCATAAATCATCATAAATCATCATACATCATCATACATCATACATCATCATCATACATCATAATACATCATAATACATCATAATACATCATAATACATCATAATAAATCATAATAAATCATAATACATCATAATAAATCATAATAAATCATAATAAATCATAATAAATCATAATAAATCATAATAAATCATAATAAATCATAATAAATCATAATAAATCATAATAAATCATAAGGAATCATAATAAATCATAAGGAATCATAATAAATCATAAGGAATCATAATAAATCATAAGGAATCATAATAAATCATAAGGAATCATAATAAATCATAATAAATCATAATAAATCATAATAAATCATAATAAATCATAATAAATCATAATAAATCATAATAAATCATAATAAATCGTAATAAATCGTAATAAATCGTAATAAATCGTAATAAATCGTAATAAATCGTAATAAATCATAATAAATCGTAATAAATCATAATAAATCATAATAAATCATAATAAATCGTAATAAATCATAATAAATCATAATAATTCGTAATAAATCATAAAAAATCATAATAAATCATAATAAATCATGATAAATCATAATAAATCATAAGGAATCATAAGGAATCATAATAAATCAAAATAAATCATAAGGAATCATAATAAATCATAAGGAATCATAAGGAATCATAAGGAATCATAAGGAATCATAAGGAATCATAATAAATCATAATAAATCATAATAAATCATAATAAATCATAATAAATCATAATAAATCATAATAAATCATAATAAATCATAATAAATCATAATAAATCATAAGGAATCATAATAAATCATAATAAATCATAATAAATCATAATAAATCATAATAAATCATAATAAATCATAATAAATCATAATAAATCATAATAAATCATAATAAATCATAATAAATCATAATAAATCATAATAAATCATAATAAATCATAAGGAATCATAATAAATCATAATAAATCATAATAAATCATAATAAATCATAATAAATCATAATAAATCATAATAAATCATAATAAATCATAATAAATCATAATAAATCATAATAAAACATAATAAAACATAATAAATCATAATAAATCATAATAAATCATAATAAATCATAATAAATCCATGTGTCCCCCAAACAAGATCCGCCAAAGACGTTACCTCTTCAATGGGGATGTCTCTGCACTCACCACTGGCTTCCATGGCTCCCATCGTAAAGTCAACGCACTTATGGCGGTTCACGGACGGGAATATAATTCTTGTTGGGTGGGAAGCACGAAAAATAGCAGGTAGGAAGCTGGGCAGGGGCCAAAAGGAGGGAGGAGTTCTATCGGCTGTGCACCACTGAGCAGTGATCAATTGGCTGTTGGAACTTGTGAGTCTCAACCAGCATGGGATTCAAAGCGTGCTAATCACCTCAAGTCTTCAAGTCGGTTGCAATAAAGAAATACAACAATAAATCAATTCCAAAAATTTTCGATGACCTTTCTATAAAAACCGCCGAAACTCTTGGGCCAGGTGCGTCGGATCCTCAAAAAAATGGGGTGTAGATTCGTAGATGGCATCACGGAGCAAGAATTTGGGATCTGTGATGATTTGTGATGTGTTCAAATCTGAAAATCATTGAGATGTATGATTTTGTCCAGATATCTGGAAAAATGTTGAAATGATTCGCAGTTTTTTGGATGTCACTAGACTTTTCCAATCAGAGACTTCATGTAATCTGTAGCTGCTGGAAGTAGGAGTGCATCTCCTTGCTGTGTGCTGGGGGGCTCTTACAACTGCCAAAGGGAACAGTGTCAAAAACACCTTCACTGTCAACAAATTGACCGATTAGATCGGGATCATTTGGGATATCTTCCCATGGAGCAGGAAGCAAACACCAATCATAATAGACATTTCATGGCATGAACAAGTTTCCAATTTTCTAATTGTTGATTCGCCAAGTGGAAAGACAGCTCCCCCTTTTTTCGGCGCGGCACGGCACTGGCGGCTGGCGCATGCGCTGAACGGTTTCTGGGTGCTGTACACCGTGTCGGCCCAAGAGGGTGGCTCCAGGGGCCAAAGAATCGGTTGCCTGCTGGTTGAACATAGATTGCCCAAAATGTTCCTGATCTATTGTAGTAACCCCAAAGAAGATAGAATTTTGTCTAGGCAAGTAAGTTATCACTCATTTCTATAGCAGGAATTGACTTTTCTATCTTTTAGGGGGGTTACTATAGGTGATAGCCTCTGGTAATCAGCTCCATGGCTGGACACTTCCACCCATTGGGTCCGATTTTCCCGAAGAAAAATAGCGTCCTTTTGGGGAAAAAAATGAAGGGGTCGCTTTGGTAAATGCTTTAAAAAAATCTGACTGGAGGGAACCTTTGATTAATCAACCAGTGGAAAAAAGGACATCTATGAATTTTCGGGGGCTTCTCCTGTGATTTCCAACATGATTTCTGCCAACCATGATGGCAGGCAACACGTTTCGACCGAGCCAAAAGCGTCATCTCTTCACTGTTGACCAACCTGGCCAGGCTGGAACCTTCTGGGATGTCCCATGCCATGCGCCGTTGGGGGCGTAGCCTCTGGGAATTTCTGGCACTTGGGGAACTGGAAGCCATGGCCCATTTCGTTCCACGATTTCACTATTCAAAACGGTGATTTTGCATGGCAATTCTTGGTGAACTAACTCCCCATTGTTAACCTGCACGAAAATTGACCCAATTTTGGAGTTTAAGTGCTTCCACATCGACTTCGCATGCCAAGCCAAAAAATCGAAAAAGTCAACGGTTAAACAGTTGAAGATCCATGATCCGCATGATGCGATTTTTCCAACTCTCCATGCCTGTTCCATGTCAGGGTGTGAAGGACCCCCCAACCACCAGCCACCTTCTTCTTCATCATCGGAATCTTCCATACCTTGCGCTACGACTTTCAGTCACTTCATAACTGCGGTTAGAAGGGCAGGAAACCGAGGGTTGCAAATTCTATTGTTCGTCCTCCTTATGCTAGGCCACAAGCGGATTCAAGTGCAGATGAGAACATGTTTTTTTGACGTTTTTAGCCTTTTTAGCCAATTGGGACGCTTTTGCAGAAGAGGGCTCTGTTTCTTAGTGGGAAAGAACTTGACCTCGTTCATATTAAACACCATCCCAAACTCAGATTTGATTCAGCTAGATCCACGTTCCTAGGTGTTGAGGATGGGATTACACAGTCACCTCATCCAGTGATCTGACCGAGAATCTGATCAATCGATTGGAAGGGAAAATCAAAATTGGAAACCATGGATTTTCCCATGAAATATGGACCACATGGGGTGTTTCAAATTGTTTCTCACACCAATCCATTGATTTTTAGTATTGGTGGCACGCATAACATGGCTTCCAAAGAATGTGATTGAGCCAACAATAGACCTTCTCCGTAACAAATCACTTGAGGGTCATCTTCAACATAATCCATTATCAAACGTCATCCCAGTTTTTGCAGGGTTTACCCAATTTTATCACACCCAACTGGGGATAATTACTGTATTACCATCATCCCTGTAATTATCCCATCCACTCTTGGTCTTTCTTTAGTATCATCCCAATTATTAGGTTTTCCTAATTTCCAACATGTTTCAACGAAATTGAACTGCCTGATCCATTTCTGGTCAGATTGGGATGGTTTATTAATTATCATGGTGAATCTTAGATACCTGTCAAAAAAAATAATTCTTAGCTGGTTAGTAGATATTCCCATGTATATCCATTTATAGCAAAAGATTAAAGTACTGAAGTATCTAACCAAGGTTATACCTGTCAAAAAATCTAAATTCTTAGTAGGATACTCCCATTTATTTAACCAAGGTTGACCCAGTTTTGGTTCTTCAATGGTTTTCCTCCCTTGATTTTGCACTGTTGCTTCCCAGATCACCACCTGGAGGTGCCCAGTCGTCATTGGATCTTAAAAACCAGGCTGCAGTGCTGCAGGGCTTACACAAATCTTATATCCCAACTGTTGAAAGTGTTTATTTGCGTGAGGATATAAGATACACACAATAAAATTGTAATTATAAGGGATAATCGTTGGGATCTAATTAGCAATCATTAACCACAACACCAAAAAAAAAAACAAAAAAATACAGTTAACTGAGGCTTATCTGATGTTATCTCCATCAATTGTCACCCCTAACGACACACCGAAACGCACCGGGCTGGGCGCGGCACCACCAAAGCGATTCGCCACCGAAAGCTTCGTGATCGGCGCCTGCGCGCCTTTCGCCTGGCCGGGCCGTCGCTCAGGAGACGTCAATTGTACTGATATGATACGTTGGATATATGGCATATGTACATATATATATATTTTTTTTCTCTCTTGCGCATAACATGTGTATATATGAATAAATATATATATATAATATCTATCTATCCATCCATCGATCTCTCTCTCTCTCTCTCTCTCTCTCTCTCCATCGCCTTCGAGATATCTGTGTTTTCTTCACATCGATCAAGGCTCCAAAAATGGGCCCAACCCAGGGACCGCCTTCGGTTTGGGCTTGGGCTTCGCAGCCGGATCGCGGAACTTGATGGGATCAACGGCCTCTGTCGGAATCTTAGACGAATATGAGATTCAAATGGGATGTTCATGGGATATGAATGGTACAATGTGGGGCCCCCAAGATAGCTAAGTTGGTTTATAACTCCAATAACTATGGTTTATGGTACTTATAACTATAGTTAATGGTGTTTATAAACCAACTTATAACTGAGGGGCCCCACATTGTATGATATGACTGGGATGTTGATGTTGATGTTAATGGTATATTACTGCGATACATGGTGATATTTACCCAGGATTTCATGAAATCGAGCCCGGTTCAACTCTGCTCGCCCCTGAGGATCACCATCCGAAAAAAAAAATGCTTGAAAAATGCTGGGTAATTGGGGGTCTGGGATGATCAGTGTGGTTTCTATACCCAAATTATGCTGGTTGGTGGTTGAGCCTACCCCTCTGAAAAATATGAGTTCGTCAGTCGGGATGATGACATTCACACAAATTTATGGAAAGTCATAAAAATCATGTTCCAAACCACCAACCAGTATATATCATGGATCAAAAACTCAATAAAACCAAATCATCCACGGGTTATACCCATGATATCCCCATGTCATATCTCAGATGGCGAGTCGGGGGGAGCCTGTTTGGATCAACATGAGTCAAGATTGATGACCTATGTTCCATCAAAACTGGGTGTAAAACACATTTCAAAGCTGTACCCTTCTGGTAATTCATCCTTGGAAAAGAATATCAATTTGTAAAGGACTTACCCTCTGGTAAACGCTTACATAACAATGGAAAATCACTATTTTTCATGGGAAAATCCACTATTTCTATGGCCATTTTCAATAGCTTTTTGTATGTTTACCAGAGGGTACCTATGGTTTTCATGACCACTGGGATGGCTATGTTGCCAGAGGGTCGCAGTCCACCTCGCCTGTGGGCTAGCCTTGGGCTTTGCAGCTGCTGCATTGGCTACACCTCAAAAGGCTGGGAAACAAATGAAAACACAATCCAAATATCTAATTATACATTCACACACATATCTATCTATCTATATATATATAAATAAACTATATATATAGTATTTCTCTGATTTCTCAAAAAACAAATTGAACAAATTGAGAAAAGTGGAGTTCTCCAAAGTTCTGGGAGGGGTTCGTCGTGGCGTTGCCACCTGAGCTGATGGCTACTTTCCACCTGAGTGACCTGGCGGAGGTCACGATCCGACATCCATCATGGCGTATTGTCTTATGGAACCATGTCATAACAAATAAAAATAGAGTTATAACAATCCAACATATACTGTAATAGCGATTATTAATAGTGTTCAATAGCGTTTAATTGTTATTAATGGCTATTAACAGTGTTTAATGGTTAGTAACAGTGTTTAATGGTTATTAATTACCCTCTGGTAATTTAACATAGCTATTGAAAATCACCATGAATAGGTAAATAATCTATAAATGGGCCATTTTCAATAGCTATGTTAAATTACCAGAGGGTATAATTATCAAAGAAATAGACATAGAGCTATGACTATGAAACTATGTGATAGTTTTGATTGTAGTTAAACTATGTCATAGTTGCATTTCTACATATATATATACACAGTATATATATTCCATATATCACAATATATACTATAACTCCATAAATATAGCATATAAATAAATGACATCCCACCCATTTATGGTAATATGTGGGGATGGTATTTTAATGTATTTTATCAACTTTACCACATTCCCTATGAAATCCTATGAAAA